AAAAAAAAAAAAAAAAAAAACTTCACAGCTATGAGCTGTTCAAATACTAAATGGTAAACTGATTTAATGTAGTATAAATAGGTTTGAATTTGGGGAAACATGTTTAAAAGAAAAATATATTGAATAGAGAAAATTATGTCAGCTTAGGATTTTATGTTTTACTACTTGGCTTTATATTTACACTTAAAATATTTGGCATATTATATTTTGTTCATTTCTTAAGCGCATATTACTATATTGAGAAAAAAAGAAAGTCTGGTGATTTAGTAATGGTTTTAGCTTAAGTTTAATAACTGAATATTTGCTATTTTGACATTCAATCTCTTGTAACAAAGATCCTTGCAAAAGTCAGATTTGAAAAATAAAAGTAATTTACTTAATGAACTACAACAAATGTTAAAAATCCTTGTGAATGTTTTTCGGTGTGCTCAACATTTAAAGTGACCAGTCCTCCCAGTTTCAAAGATTAACAGGTTTCCCAAAATGGAGGTATTTCAGTGCTAAAGACAAACTGGAATACCTGATTATCTTACTTATCTCTCAACATTTTCCGTTTGTGTGCATGTGTATGTGTGCACATACAAGCATGCGCCCGTGTAATAAACACGTTTAGATAATCCACTTTTCATTTTCTGTGCTAGAAGGAGATATTAAATGATAAAGCCACTGATTCTGCAAATCTTTTGGTTGAGACATACGCCACAAAAATATTTTAAATCAGAGTGGCTAACAAACAGGAAAAGAGAGAAAAGTTTAACTCAAACTTCTTATAAGGTAGTAATGTATGATGAAAGAGTCCATCAAAAAGGGGGGGAGCCTATGATGGAACAGAGTAGGGGGACACATAATAGTAATTATTGGTTAGAAAACTGATAAATACACATTTACAGAAATGTGAATGGGCACTACATATTTTTAAAAAGCAGACTTCCCTTAAAAAAATCATCTTTGGGCCCTTCCTGGTGGCACAGCGAGTTAAAGCACAGCACTAGGAAGCTAAAGTTCAGCAAGAGTTCTATCACTATCCCGGAGGTGATCAACATGGAGCAGCAGACCTCTCCTGCTCTGTCCACTGCTCCCCTCAGCAGTGTACTTCGTCCATCTGCCTGTTCTGCTCCCCACTCTGTCTCTGGTGAAGCCTCTCACGGCCCTTGCACCTCTGGCCTGTACCCCAGTTCTGTATGCATAAATAAATAAATCTTTAAAAAAAAATCATCTTTTCATGTGGCCTCCCTGATGGCTCAGGGATTAAATTTCATATCTATAACTGCTGTGAACTGAGGCAGACCTCTCGTGTCTTGACCACCGCTCCACTTCGTTGTATATTTTAGTAAATCTGCCTGTTCTGCTCGTCACTCTGTCTCTGGTGAATCCTCTCACATCCTGAACCTCTGGCCAATACCCCAGTTCTTCTATTCTTCTATGCAATAATGATAGATAGATTAGGTAGATAATAGATAGACAAAGAAAGAAAGAAACATGATATACTTGGAATTCAGAAAGTCATAAAGTTCTTTACAAAACTGTAAAGAACAATGCCTTTTATTAAGTATGACTAGTATCAGGAACAAACTGTAGAACCATAAAAATTATACAGACCAGCAGTGATGGGCAGAATGCTTACAATCTGAAATAATCTGGTAAAAACTGACCACATTAGAGAAATACACAATTTGCTAATTTTCTTTTATGTAAGCTAATGACAGGTAAGGCATACTTTGCTCACCTATGATGAGTTTTAACAGTTTAAAGCACATTTTGTCTGAATACTCAGCTAAACTCATTTTACTCATCCAAATAGAGATAAATTTCTAGATTAAAAAAAAAGTGATACTCCTATGATGTCACATAATGATCACATCCTAACACTCATACTGAATTTCTGGTTAACAAGTGTTTTCATAGAGATCTCACCATATCTACCTAACCCTGAGAGTAACAGAGCTTGTGTTAACAATGCTCTTATAGTAGATGGGAAAAAAACTGTAGTGTTTCCTATGCTACAGGAATAAATGGACTGAACCATATTTAAAATGCTGATCATGTTGATCAGAGAAAAAGGAGAGATAATATTAAGTGAAAAGGAGAAGTAAAAAGAAGGCAGGCTTTCATAATGATTACAAACATTGGAGGAAGGATAAATTTGACAAAGAAATACCGTACCTTACTTTAGTCCTGTAACTGTCAATACATTAAAGGACAAAAAAGGGAGAAAGATCTGCCAACAACGAGCTGCCAATATTCAGTACCCACAATGAGAAATGGCAGGCCCTCTATCAGTCTCCCTAATACAAATTCAGATGAGAATGCAAAATTAAAGATAAAAATAAAATATGTGTATTAAAATATTTTAAATGTTTATAATATAGAAAAATGCTTACAAATAAACATATAGAAGTGAACGGACAATATGACAATGATATAAGTCAAAATACATAGAAAAAGGGATTGGAAAGAAACACTAAATTATGCATAGCTGTTAGGCTATGGAATATACATTTTCCTATATATTCATTTTTCTAATGAGTATAATCTAAATATAAACATCATTTAGTTTTAGAATGTGTTTTTGTACTTCCATCACATTCAGTGATAGGGTGGGGACATTTAGGGAGAACACATGTTCTGGGAATCAGGGAATCAGGATTATACTTTGGTTTTGTTGCCAATTAATTATGTGACTTTGGTAACATCATTTATCTTCACCTAGTCCTGGTTTTATTATTTGTAAAGTGAAAGAATCTGAAGAAGGTGACCTGAAAAGCTCCAACAAACATTTGATGCAGAAGCAAGAGAATAATGATGCAGCTGTATTTATTTTGTTCAAATATTCAAATTAAGGAACTGTAAAAATTCTAAATATGTAGTAGTATAACGAGAGAAAGACTAAACGTATAAATTTATTAATAACCTCAATGGGAGTCATTTAATGAACTGAGATTTTTCAAAGAGTCCATCATCTTTCTCAGTAGTTTGCAATGCTAATATTACCTACACAATAACCACCATACAATTACTAAAAATTTAGGGCTGAAAATTCTAATTAATACTTTTAAAGGTCTTAGTGACTTGTTACAATAGACTTGAAAAAAGTCCATTTCAGATTGTATACGCAGGCCTTAGTGTGGATAAAACACTTAGTCCTTGAGTTTTATGTCTTTAGACCAAAACTTAACGCAATTTTTCTTAGAATCCTGACCCAGGATTTTTTTCAGGCCATTGTGGGTAAGTGACAAGGTAGTTATTTCTCCAAGTCACCTTACAGGAAAAGGCACAAGGCTTATTTTTTAAAGTTGTCATGCCAACCACACATGAAATGCACCAAGATTCAAGATTACAACATGGCTTCTCTCTGCTTGTGTCTCATTATATTGACTACATGTGACTTTTAAAGCACAACACTTCTACTATTAAGGACACTGATCAAAAGTCTCATCGTTTCAAAACAGTTTACAGAAACTGTGAGAATATATATTGGAAGCCCGAAACCCTGGCATCAAAAAACAGACTATCATTTTATCAAGCGCAAAGCTCCTCAACTGTTGCTCCTTGCCCTCTCGCAGTGGACACGGTCAGGACTCACCTTGTCTTTGCAGGGCCGCTGGCAGTTTTGTGCTGCACACACGGCATTCTCATCGTCAGATTCCTCGGCTCCTGACCAATCATATTTTGAGGGGATGTCCAGCACTTTTTTCTCTCGCTTCTTCTCAGTGCTTTCTTTTACAAGCTCAACTTTAGCTGCCGCAGCCTTCTCCTTCTTTTTCTTTCTCTCTTCTTCTTTTGCTAGTTTCTTGGCCAGTTTATTCAGTTCTTTTGATTTTTCTGCATTTAATTTTAATTTCTTCTTTTTAGGTTTATCCATTTTCTTTAATTCCTTGGACTTCTGTTTTCCCTCTCCAAAAAGCTGCTCCACCTTTTCAAGCTTCCGTTTTCGCTTCTTCTCTGAAGAGTCCTTTCCTTTTATTTTTAATGGTTTCTCTTCCATACTGTCATCCTTCAAAAATATATAAAAATTTGAAACAGCTTTACTGTAAGACATCTACAACAGTTATCCTATGAGAGGTATCTTCAACAGAAAAATCCAGAGAGACAGAAAGTATAAAAGAGGTCGCTGCCATTTGCTATGGGAGGAAGAAATTTAATGGGAACAAAGTTTCTATCTGAACAGATTAATATGTTTTGGAAATGGATAGTGGTGATGGATGCACGACACTGAATGTCATACAGCTAAACTGTGTATGTTAAAGGTTAAAATGGTTAAGTTTCATGTACGTTATGCCACAATATTCTTAAGATATTTAAAATATTTTAATTAGGCAAATATATAATATTCAATAAAGATAGTAGAAAATGGCAAGTATTAAATAAAATATCTGAATTATTTTTTGCTTAATGGGGAGGAAATTTCAGTTATATACATAGATGTAGTCTGTGGCATCTCTGTTTAACTGACATGAGAATAGATACTGAAAGATATTATTCTGTGTATGCTAAATTATGTAGCTTTTTTTTGGTCTTCATTTAGCACCACTAAATTTATTATTTCAACAAATTCTCACTGGTTAGGAAGTTATCAAAAAAAGGCAACAAAACATAAAATTGTACTCACGATCTTATTTATTTGGCATTGAAGAACTAGGGTGTAAGTCAGAGGTGGAAGGTGGGTAGAAGATTCACCACAGAGTGGAAAACAGAACAGGCAGATCTACTGTAATACACTGCTGAGGGGAGCAGCAGGTGAGACAGGAGAGGCCTGCTGCTGCACCATATATGGGCTAGTTCTCTGGCTGGGGGTCAAGTTCAAGTCACAGAGATGATAGCACTGAGACAACCACTCTGCTACGGGGGGGCCCATTCTCATGATCTTCTATCACAAAAATTATGTAGTATCTACAAAAATAGTTGATGCAACAGAGCAAAATGTTGCCCCCTTTCAACTTTCTCATACTGTAACTTTGTGCCAATGTAATCAACATTAAAAATTTTATTACCAAGTGTCTAGTAACAGAAATATCAAGGGGAAGTAGAAAAAGCAATGCTAGAAAACCTAAGCTTGATAATTACTTAAGAAATAGCACTTAATTCATTTTTCCCACAAATGTGAAATGGAAGAATATTTGATAGGAACTGAAGTACCTACTGAATACAAAAGAACACTGCACTGTAAATGTTTCAAGTCCATCACAACTTAAAACAAAATCATCTAACCTCTAGATGTGAGGAAATGTAATGAATGTGAACAAAATGTTTTGTAGACTATCAAACACTCAATTAGAATACCTTTGATCTGCTTTCCAAACCAAAAACAACCCCTAAAATGCTAAGTTCATCTTCAACTGTCGGTGACATTATATCATTCCATTTCAGTGAAACAAATTTTGGGGAAAATAATAACAGATAGGTCAAGTGCCATAGCTAGAATACCAGAATGCAGGTCTCTTTAGTTTTACTGTAGGTGTGACCTTAGGTAAGTTTCCACCTCTCTGTTGATCTTTTTTATCTTAATTTCTTCTTACATAGGATGGACTAAATACTGTCTTTTTTGTTCTTTCTTCAAAGCCTTCAGGATTATGGTAAGGATCAAATAAGATCACAGATATAAAAGCACTGCACATACTACAAACTGTTATGCAAATATATATTTCATATGAGTAACTCTCTCCTTCCCACTGCACTCCTCTTCTGTCTTAACCATCCCATTGCTTCTGTTTTTTTTTGTATTTTGTTCTGCATAACTTTTGGGCCTATCAATAGTGAGAGCCTAAGCTAAGGAAGGTGTTCTAAACTGATGATTTTCAGCATCCCCTCTTTTTGTTGGGTAAAAATGGCCTTTTTCCCCCTTCAAAATATCTCAATGACGAAGAACATAAAGAAGGACTACTGACTTAATGGAAGAGGACACTGTACTGACCATTTAAGCAAACCCTTGCCAGCACTTATGACCTCTCCAAGGAACTTGAGCTTTCTAACTTTTAAAACCATGGATTAAGCAAGTAAAAATCCATACCTCCATGATATGCAGAAATCTATCCTCAGAGGGTGGGTGTGTGGCTTGCAAGATCCGCCATATGTGTTGAGTCTCATCAAGGGATACTTCTAGGAGATCTCCAGCCATCATAAGTTCTTCCAACTGGGCTTTAGCTCCAGGTGACAACTCCAACACTGGAGGTTCCAAACTTCGGGGCACCAAAGGACTCTTTCGAGGTTGTTTCCTTGGGGTGCTAGAACCTTTAAAAAAGAAAAGACAAAAAACCAAAAAGTGGTGTATGGAAAAATTTATTTTCAAAGTAAATAGGGAATGAACTCTCCTCCCAGTACTTATTTTAGATGGCTAGATTCTCCACCAGTATGAAAGTGAAAGTGAAATTAAGAACAAAATATGACACAAAGATCTATACCTGTAATCCTACTCCAAAAAATTGGGTTAAAGTATAAAGTTGGTTCCTTACTGATTTGTTAGCCCTTAACAAGAGGGGAAGAGAAATGGGAAACAGCCTGTTTGACCTCAGAAACAAATACATGCCAGGCCCTCCCTGGTGGCGCAATAGGTTAAAGGACAGCACTGTGAATCTATGGAAGCCACTCTAACACAGGTGCGCTTCCTGGCCAGGTGGGTGACCCACATGGCATGGCAAACCTCTCCTGACCCACTGCTCTCCTCAGCACTGTATTCCAGTCAATCTGTCTGTTCTGCTCCCTATTCTGTCTCTGGTGAATCCTCTCACCTCCCGTACCTCTGGCCTATACCCTAGTTCTGTATGTATAAATGAACAGCTATTTTCCTAATAAGCAGATAGTATGCTGATCCATAAAAACCTAAATTTCACTTTTAAGATAAACACACTCCATCTTTTAGCAGTGTGATCTAAAGTAGTATGACTTCCTTTCATTAGGGAGGAGGAAAGTGAATGTAGTAGAGAAGTTATTCCCAAGAAAAGGAAGACTGTCCAAATAACTAAGCCTTTCCAACCCAGAATGAATATTCCTAGCAAGAAACAAGTCACTCAATTAACTGGTAACAAAAATGGCACTTGATGGCCTCTAAAGTTCTCCTAATTTAGGATTTAATAATTCTATGGAAGTTTTCAGACTATCACCTTATAATAGAAAATCCAAACAGTGATTGACTTTTCTTAATCCAAATTGTACTTTGAGGTTCTATTAGCATTTCATGGGCAGAATTTGTATTCTAAAGAGGTCTTCATTAATATAATGCTTTTCTCTCTAGTTTCAGACTTATCTTCTCCACATTTAAAAAGAAAAAGTTTTAAACCTTGAGAACAACTCTTAGAAGCAGAAGAATATGCATGTTCGGCACAGAATGAAGGTGCTGTCCACATGTGAGTCACCACCTCCTCAGACTTGATGGGAATCTCTTCATCACAAAAAAGATTGGGTTCCAGACTACTGGAAGACTTCACACTGGCTGTGTCCTGAAGAAGAAACAAGGGAAATATCAGAATTGGAGCTGTTTATCCTCTGACAAGGAGATGAATGTAGGCTTTCCAGTGAAAGCTTCCATATAAAAGGCTAAAAATATGACCTCGAAATTAAATAGATGCTATTAAGATGGAAAGTGTACTGGGAAGAAAAAAAGAGCAATGACCATAGTTTCAAGCCAAAAGGAAAAGAGTAGAGTTCAAAAAGAATACATAGGTAATAAACTTACAAGAAAATAACTATTAAATAATCTAATTTCTACATTCTTCAACTCATAACCTATAGCCCCAACTTAAGAAACCTTGACCATATACAAAATATAAAATGGGCTTACGGGGGAAAAGTTTAGATGAGACATAAGTCATTTAACCCTTTCTAAAGGTTTTCAGATTACTAACTGCTCTTACTTCCAACTGCAGTCACTCAATACAATGAAAATTCAAACTACACAATCTGACAGCTCTAGTTAGGCCTCAAATCTTTTTCCTTTAGTTAACGTCCACAAGTTCCCTTGCAGGTAACTTCCACAGCTTTGTCAGAGTATAATCTGGAAAATAGAAATCACACCAAGTATTTCACAGGAATAATAATAAAATGAACTGGTTAAATGCATACTAAAGGCTTGAAACACCAAGGAAAATCAAAGTAAAGGCAAGGTAGTTGCAAAGAAAGAGATGCCACCCCTACAGCTTAATAACAAAAGAAAGAGGTAGTTAACCTCCAGGCTCAGTGAAGAAACTATCATGACTTCAGACCCAGATCTCTGAAGAAAAAATGCTAGTAAGTTCGTTCAGCCATCTCTAAGAGTATGGTTGGCTGGGTGTGAATAACAACTAGAAATTGGAGCCAGTTGTCAATGCTAGGGTTCAAAAAGAAATGTAGTTCAGATGATGGCAGCAATTAAGACAGGGAAAAAAAACCTGAGTCCCTTTTTCAGTCTTCAGGACTTTTAATTTTCTTTAATGTCCTCTATAAGCAAAAGGAAGAATGCAAAAAATACAATGTATAAGGGCAAGGGTTGGCAAACTATGGCCTGTAGGTCAAATTCAGTCGACATCCTATTTTTTGTATGGCATGAGAACAAACAATAGTTTTTACATATTTAAAAAGTTGTAAAAGAGAGAAAAATAAGAATATGTGAGAGACTACATGTGACTAACAAAGCCTACAATATATATTAATTACATATGCCATTAATATCTTTTTATATTTTATCCAATAAACATTATTATATATTAACATATAATATAAACCACTTTACAGAAAGCATTCACCAATTCCTGGTGTGGAATCCCAGCAGTAGCATCAGAAAGGAGTATGGAAGGAGATGAGAGACAGTAACTCACTAACCCAACACCACATTCTCTTTATGTGTACAAGAGACTGTTATCTTCAGGCTATATTTAAACATGATGCTTAATGCCTATCACTGATAACTTAGGAGTAGCAATAGGGATTTAAGAATAATCTTCTCTACTCAAAAATTTAAGTCTTTCTAAAAGAAAAGCAGGAAAAGTACTTATAACTCCCAAAGGCATCTTCTCACTAACCAAAATTCTCACTTTTGACCTTGAGTCTACTGCTTTCATTGTAACTCATGCCAGGGACTTTCTATTTCATTTCAGAAATGACAGACAGTAAGAAAGTTTTTAAAAAATTATTTCTCCAAGGTGACATATGAAACATGAAAGAGGTTCAATATTGACTTTGGTGAGTTAATGGAAGAAGCCATTAAAGGAAATAAAACAAAACTTCTTCAAAATTTTAGCTAACCAAAAAAGCAGGGGAAAAAAGCAACTGAAGAACAAAACACAAAAGAGGCTAATGAAAAAGAAACTGGCCAAATAAACCCAACTATTTCAGCAATTCCACACAATTTAAGTGGACTAAACACCCCAACTAATAGATTGAGATTACACTACTACTAAATACTAAATAACAAAACACACAAAAAAAAGACCCAACTACAGAGTTTATAAATACATATGTATGCAGAATTATAAACCAAAAAGGACCCTGTTATATATAATGTCTACAGAAGTTGCACTGCAATTATAAAGACACAGTTTGAAAGTTAAAGTATTGTTAGGCAGCAAACATAAATCACTCTCCAGGAGGAAAGTTACAGCTCTGCTGTGCTGGTGGCAAATACACAGGAAAGCTAGAATCAGCCGCTTGGTGAGAAATGTGTTTTATAAAAGTACGTTATTCTGGGCCCTCCCTAGTGGCGCAGCGGGCTAAAGCACAGCACAAAGAAGCTTAAGCCACTTCTGCATGAGTTCGATTCCCACCTGCCCTGGAGGAGATCCACATGGCGAGGCAGACCTCTCCTGACCCGCCCGCTGCTCCCCTCAGCAGTGTACTTCGTCGATCTGCCTGTTCTGTACCCAACTCTGTCTCTGGTGAATCCTCTCACCCTCCGCATCTCTGGCCTGTACCCCAGTTCTGTACAAATAAATAAATAAATCTTTAAAAAAAAAAAAGTACGTTATTCTATCTTCTGCATTAGGGAGAAAAAGCTCTCAGTCAAACCTCTATTTCCACCATTGCCTGGGGTACTCAAGTATCAGCAAGAATGGAAGAAAAAAATCAAAGAACTTTAGTGTTGACCTGTCTTCCTCAAAAAGAAGCAATTACTGAGATACAAAAAAGAATTTTCTGGGAGGTAAGTTACCAGCGTTTTACACATCCTTCCTGATGTGTAATCATACACACATACATGTTAGTAAAATATAGACTGCAATATAGATGAAGAGTTTCAAGTAAAGATAAACAATTGCCATACAAGGAAATGATCAATACTTGAGCGATTATCTTAGACACAATCCCAAACACCCATGACAAACTGCTTCATTAAGTATGTATTTTCCTAATAATAGTCTTAAATTGTTGTTCAGAGTATTTTAGCAGTGATCACATAATATTAAATGCAAAATGAAGTAATCAAACAACACAAAGCAAAAACACCTGTTCCGAAGATTTAAATGCAATAAGATTAAAAATAAGAAAAATTGATCCAAAGGGGGCCCTTTTTCTCAAGCAAAGACACTACACACAAACTATTTTAAAGATAAATTCATGGTCACAATTAAGGATATCATATAAAAGGAAAATCATTAAGACAACTGCAAATAAAATTTTCATTAGAGTAAATCCTGTTGTATGTGAAAACATTTAATAAGACTAGTTTTTTTAGTGCAAAGATACTAACACGAAGATAAATTTGACCTTATGTTACTGGTATGTCTTGCCACCATTTTCCCACTCTTCTAAACTGTCAAATACATTACTAACTGTAAAATTTTTAATTTTATTTTTCTGCCTTGCCAAAATCACCTACTAAAGAGACTGTAAGCTAAGGCTCCCATATCAATTTTACAAAGGACTATTCCTACACCCATATCAAATCACAATTGTGATCCATTGCCCTGAGCTCACGGAGTACTTGTAATGTTTTATTTTTGTAGATTTCTAGAGTAGTGATTGATAGTTAATATGCTAGAAATATAACAAGTATTAGAGGTATCCAAGCTATATAAGATAAGCAGACAATTCTACTATTCAAGCAAAAAGCTAAGTAACTTAAAATTGGTATAGGCTGTTCCTGGTCATCTTATACAGCTTTATAGACAAAAAAGGTCACTAAGGTGGCCTGGGATCTTATTTTAACAGGTTAATTCAAGTTTCAATTTTCTCAAATCTTTAACCTTTAATTCAAACAACTAGCAATCTCTTTATTAAAATGTGTCGCTTGAGTCCATTTTTAAAAAATGGTTTACATATGCATCCAAGAACTGGGGTACAGGCCAGAGATGTGTGTGTGTGTGTTGGGGGGGGGGTGTATGTGTGAAAGGATTCACCAGAGATAGAATGGGAAACAGACGGAAATATATGCTGATGGGAGCAGTGAGTGAGACAAGATGGGTTTGAGCACTATGTGCCATGTGGGTCACCTCCCTCTCCAGGGATTGAACTCATGCTGCAATGACTGCTGATAGTTTCACACAGTGCTGGTTTAACTCCTGTGTCCACCAGGGAGGGCCCTCCTGGGTCCATTTTTATCCTGAGAAAAATGTTTTCCAACATGATTTACAAGCATCTATGATGGATGGTTTTAATTTTACATCCTGGAAATGTTAATGATGGAATTATTCATGTTCTAAGAATGAACACTACCTACCTGATCTGCATACTAAAAACTCAGAAAAAAAATAGTTGAGGGTAGGGAAAGCTCTAGTTCTTTGGCAGATCAGAGAACAATTGCCCTAATTACAGGCACACAATCTAAACAGATCAACAAATAATAATATAAAGCAGATCAATACTGTAACCTAACAGTGCTCTGCATAGATCACTGTATTATAATAAAGACAAAAGATTTGCTCCTAATATAACAATAAAACTCTATCAGGATCCAACACAAAACCTTTATCTCTGGTGTGATGTCACTATCGAAATAATCATATTGAGAGCAAATAATTGGTTGTAACTGCAACTGTTAAACTCTGCAAATTCAAATTAATGGTCCAAATACAACCCACCTCTAAATGTTACATTCTGACATCATCCAGAGAATCAGTATAAAAGACTTAACACTAAAAGGGGATTCTTAAAATATAGTTATGAAAACCTGAATCTAAGCAAACAAAAAAATCCAAAATTAGCCATGAATGTTTTAACATATAAAAGCATGTATTTTCTAGTCCGTCTAAGCCATAAGAAGTTACAAAGTGAGGAAAATAACCTGTTTTTAAAATTCCAGTCTTTAAAAAAATTTGTTTCATCAATATATGTATTTTTAGAGCTTTGAAACATTATTACCATAAACTCAGGATACACAGATTACTAGTTCTGTCTTCCCCATTCAGACCTCAAACCTTCAACATCATTAGTTGCTCAATATTCATAGCGTTTTTAACAAGCCCAATGCTCAGGTATGTACCCATAGAGCCTGTCCATCTAGTTACCTTCATGTCATATCCGTATGTTTCCCGGATGTCTTCATCAGAATCTGTTTCCTCATCATCATAGTCCACTGTTTGTCGAGGGGAAGAGGATACACTGCTTACCACACGATTAAAAGCAGACTGCTGGAAACTAGGTAAGTGTCCCTAAACAACAAACAATTCCAAAATAAATAGCCATACCACATAACACAGGTAACTGGAACATGCTTAAGACCAACAATGTGAACCTCAAAGCAGCTAAAGAGTTCAACAGTTAGTACATATCAAATTACTTGTTATGATGCCAAGATCCACTTGAATGATATTTCCAGGTTAATATTTCACTAAAATGACCTCGTATATGTAGAAAGTGCCATCAATGATAGAGTTGCTGGCAACTCACTGTTGTTTTCTTAATCAAGTGGAGGTAGATTTGATTTCCTATTTGCACACTGACCAACATTATCATAAGTTAGAAAAAGAAAATGCTAAACTTGCCTGTAAGTCTGGGTTGGCAGCTGCTTTTTGGAGTTCTGCACTGATGATCTTTTCAGTTTTCTCTCGGGCTGCCTGTTCCACCATACGCTGACTCAACACAGAAAGTTTGGCCAGGGCAGAGGACAGTTCATCTGTGGCTAGGGCCTGCCTTGCTCGATCTTGCCAACTCATAGCACGTTCTGTCAAACACTGTAGGGCCTCTCCTTCAGGCAACCGAACAGGCAATTTCTGAAGGGATACCAGAAGTGACAGAATAGTCTCTAGCCTTGGCCTTCGAGACCTCATACAAAGAGGGCAAAGAAATTTTACTTCTTTAGCCTGCCAGCTAGATCCTTTTTTCTGGGAACTTGATTTAGGAAGGGGAACACAGCTGTTATGGAACCAGTCTTTACACAGCTCACATTGTAGCATAAACCCACTGGCTGTCTTGCGGCAAATACAAAATTTTACTTCTTCTATGCGGTCCACCATTGTCATCTTGGCTAAGTTGGCTGCTCTGAGGGAATGCATGGCTTCAATCTCTTTTTGCTCCCGTTCTTTGAAAACTGCCACCTGTATATAACAAACATTTAATTGAAAAGAGTCATACTCCAGAAATACCATATCCTTAAGGCTGAGGAAATCATCTCCAATTTATGGCCTCCATGACAACAAATGCAATATCTTTTGAAAATAAAAAGTTGTCAATTGTATGGGTTACCTTGGCAGTTTCCACGCAAACATTCCTTAGATGTAGAATGGGTAAAAAGCTACTACTGTATTTGACAACTTATGGATTCTTCTGTAGGATCAGTAGAAAGATACTGTATCAATAAGTCAAACAACAAGCCCAACTCTTATACTTTTGATATGAGAATACCACTAACCTTATTTTGTTGTTTTAATGACTAAATAAGATAATGCATGACAAATCTTTTCCCTATATAAAGCAACAACGGCAGCCTCCTGCCCACCTATGACTATACAGGTGCCCTTCTATTTCCCTTTTTCCTAATAAGCCTGTCCTTTTAAAATGCAAAAAAAAAGCTAACACACAAAAGTGCCTAATTGGTTAACTAGCTGCCAGGCATAAGATAAAAGAAATCTAGGGGATCCCCTTGTAATTCATTCCTTGGAGGCAAGTTACATACAAATCAATTTCTAGTTATTCCTAGAAGGCCTCTCCAACTCATGTAGCAGACTAACAAAGCCTGATGACATAAATATAACAATGTCTTTCTTCAAAATCTAAAAGCAAAGAAAATTCAATTATTGTAGATACCATCAGTGCATTTTCTTTCTAAGCTCTGGTAAGTATAAAATAATTTTGAAATAATTTCCAGTCCTACTTGTCTAGTCTAGCAAGATTAACTTACTAGGCAGGATTTCTAATGAGAAATCATTTCTACTGGCCACAGTAGAACAGAATCACAAGTAGGTAAAAACAGCCATGTTACGTTACTTAATGTATATAATTCCCTACTATTATTATATACTACCCAAACTCATTTTTATTTTCTCAGGCTCCTTAACACATTCCACCCACTATTCAAGCAAAACCTCGTAATTCTAATTACCTATAAATATTTTATTGTGCAATATTGCTACTATGAAAAAGGAAGTATTTTAAAATAGTAGCTAGTATCAATAAACTGATACAAGTCCTTTGAAAAGTACAATAGTATTAAGAGTCACAAAATGCTATTAAATTCTAATGTAGTGATCCCATTCCAAAGAGTGAAATGTAGGAAATAATTTCAAAGGAAAAGGCTATACATGAAGTTTATGATTATCCAAAACTAGTGAACACTTAGCAACAACCAAAATGTTCAACAGCCAAATAGACAATAAGTATGGATGACTACAACAAGAGACATGGAAAAGACAAGTTTGGAAAGGGCAGAATGTTTAATTTTTATATACTCTTGATTACAAATATTAAAAATTATGTGACATATGTATAACCATGAAAGCAAAGCTAAAAAAAAAAAGCATGTAAGTGTTATTTTATAAATGTGCTAATATCTTAAAAGAGAATTTTGTATTCACCAAGTAAACTCGACATAATTCTTACCACCATGGCTGTATCTCTGGTTTCCTCCAACCCTTCTTCCAGATCACTCAGAGGCTCAAGATCCAGGTCCTTTTCCTTTTCTTTTTCTATTAGTTCTTTTACTTTTTTCCTTCTGTTTTTACCACTCCCATAAATTCCGATATCAGTCCGCGGACTTAGTACCTACAAAACACACATAAAACACTTATGCTGTTTAAAAAAAAAAAATCTTAAAAAACTGAAAATAGAGCCCTCTCTGGTGGCATAAGGGTTGTTAAAGCACAGCACTGTGAAGTTTATCCACAGCCACTGCAGCACTATTTCGATCCCCAGCCAAGGAACTGACCACACAGCACAGCAGACCTTCCTGTCTCATCCATTTCCCCTCAGCAGTGTATTTCATTCTGCCTATTCTGTTCCCCGATCTGTCTCTGATCAATCCCCTCATGCCTCACACCTCTAACTTGTACCTCAGTTTTTGTATGCACAAATAATTTTTTTTTAAAAAAAACTGAAAATACTTAAAAGAATCATCTACTGACACCTAAATCCTGGCAATTTTTTAATGGACTTTATATACATTATCAAATTCAATCCTCACATCAACCTTCTGACTTATTATTCATATTTTACAAACAAGGGAAGACCCAAAAAGAAAACAACTTGCCCATGGACACAGTGATTTGCCAAGTCAGGAGTTAGTCCTCCCTAATGAAACCATCCTACTGCTATGCTCAACGGCTAAAAATAAAGCCAATGAATATTCAAATCTGTGCTTCTGAAAAACAAGTTCTTTCAGTGAAGAGTCCAACAGTAACAGAGATAAGATCTGGGGTGACTGCTTTTTCTGGACAAAGCACATGAAGAATGAGAAATAAGTCTGCCAAAGTCTCCAGATTTTGGCCAATCTTTGATATTACTTAATAGGAATCTTGAATAACCAAGGCCAGATAAACTGAAAACAACCCTCACCAGTAACATTACTACTTACAAAGTAGTCAAATTACCAAATTTTCATGAGGTCACTGATGTGCACTACACTTTACCTGCAACAATGTGTGGCTGGAATTTTTTTTAAGAAAGGTCCGCCCAGTCCGTTCTCTCCAAGCCCGTGCTGCTGCTACTTGTGATTCTACTTGGGGCAATGCATCAAGACGCACAGGAATAGGGCGTCCTTTAGCAGATAAGCTCTCCAACTGCTCCAAGTAAGCATAGTTGCTACCACTCTGAAAAACAAAAGTATATCCTCATACAACTTGCATTCTCTTGGAGTCTGGCAGTATGTTGTCATAGGACCTTACAAAGATTATAATGCATATGTTATTATTATTCCTTAATCCTAACTGTATCTGTTAAGTAGAGCTTCCAATGTTCCTTTAAAGTTTTTGCACATTCATGTTATCAAAGACTTTTACTTTATTAAGAAACGAGTAAGAAAACAAAAAAAATGCCAAAGGGCAATCTAAAGGACAGACATATAAATGCTATTAGGAATGAGGAAAAGAATTGCTACTAGGTGAAAACAGATGGTTAACTTCCCATGAACAATAAAATCATCGTTTGTACTGGGTGGAAATTGCCTGTGCCATTACAGAAAAGTTGAATTGCTTTTCCACAGACATAATTCTTTTATATTGCTATCATTTAAAAATAAACTGACAGAGCTGTAAAACAGCTTGGCCAAAGAAAATCCAAGAAATACAATCCTGAAATTACATAATCCTAGAAGGTCTGCTAGATAATCACAATTTTTCCAACAAATTCAAAGCAGTATTTTAATTTTTAACAACCACCTCCATTTTAAGTTATATACAAACACAGCTGAGAATGGCTCATTTCCTTCTAAATCATAATGTTTTGATATTTCCATGTAATAAGATCATGGCTGTTTTGAGATTTCATATACTGCCTCAAATTTACTAAGTGACTGAATCATTACAGGAAGTAAATTAGCAAGTAACCCAAAGGATCTGGCACGAACACCTGAAGAAGGGGTAGAAAATAATTCAGGCTGTAGAAAACAATTCAGAAGTACCTTTGATTGAATAAATTTCCTAGCAGACAGAAAACAATCATTTCTGAAAGAAATTATGTAACAAAAAAGAAACAAAATGCACATATATCCCATTTCACTGTTTTCCAGAAGCAATGACAGAAAGGCTCAGTGTTATACAGTAAACATTGAGGACCCACTAAAGAGAAAGGTTTAAATAGGTAGTATTTATTTTTAAGGATAAAATCAGGTGGAAGGATGAATGTTAAGTACTATAATTATTTTACTATGGTTATTCTAAGGCTTCACAGATTCACCTATGAATCATTTAGCATTATTCAATGGCAGGAGAATATAGAAGTCTCATTACCTGAATAGCTTCCACTTTAATTGTCCATTCTCGAGCCTTTTGTAAGGCTTCTTTCAGGGACAACACATTGGGCAGAAAGGCTGGAATGTTTTTAGCTTCATTCACAATGCTTTCTAAACTTGCCACACTGTGCCGTGGTCTAAAAGAACAGACATATGGCAGATGCATGAGGAAAAGTCAAAAAGTCAAATGGCTATCATCATTTAAATAATATTTTAGAAGAATGCATATTTGATACTTACGTTTAATTCAACTACATCAACATCCCATTACATGAGGCAAGTAGATGCTAGGCCTTATCCACAAGCAAACAGGACACAAGATGAGAACACTAACTTAGGTTTGGGGGGTTTGAAGACAGAATGAAAAGAGAATTCTATTTGTACCAAAACTTACAAGAAATTACTAACGCCCCACTACTATGGGGGGTTCTGTCTAGGAAAGTTGATAAGGGCGTTGAAGCAGGTCCCAAAGAAGTGTCATTTTGTCAGGTGAAAGGTTAAAGGAAAAAAAAGAACTAAGGAAAGACATGGAGAAATATTCAAAAGCAAATTGGTAATACTGTTTAAGATGGTGAATAGTCTGAAAATGGAGATGAAGTAAAATCAAGAAGAGTTTTGCAGAAAAGAAAAATGTAAGCAGATCAACAATCTTGTGAGTCATGACTTTCACCATGGAAGCAATGGAAAACTGGCACCCGTGGGAGCAGTTTCATCACCCAGGAGCCCTACTATATGCTGCGCACTGTGCCAGGTACAGGAGCTCATTAATGCACAGAAGTGATGCAGCCCATGCCTCAGGAAATCTTTTAATCTTGTAGAAAAGTTGTTAATACAGAGAGATGATTTGCAAATAAAGGAAAATAAAAGATGCTACCAGAATATATGGAAGAAAGACCTAATTTACTTGACACATGAAGAAAGTCTTCCCAGAAGCTTTTTTACCTTTCTGAACAAGAATTAAGTCAGGCAAAGTAGGGCCAACGACAGGACAGGGGTGATGGAAGTGAATCACAGGGGTTGGGCAGAGGGGGAGTTCCACAAAAGAAAATAAACATGGCAAAAAAGGACATGGCATGGTTGAAGAATCAAGAGCAGAAGAGTGTGAGATGATGGTGGTGGTGGTGGATTATCACTGTTAACACAATGTAAGAAGAAGAAAGGCAAATGATAGGGTCAGATATTTAGGAAAGAGGCTAGACCACAGATGGTCTTACAAATCAGGTTAAGAAGGCCCTATCCCAAGAGGAAAAGGAAACAGCAAAGGACTCAGAAGAAGGGAGTGGCACAATGGATTAATGCACAGTACTATGAAGCTAGCCACAGCAGCTTCAGCTTGAGTTCAATCCCTGGTCGGGGGGTAACCCATATGGTACAGTAGACCTCTCCTGTCTCACCCGCTGATCCCCTCAGCAGTATACTTCTGCTGTATAATCTGCCCATTCTGTTCCCCACTCTGTGGGGAATCCTCTCAACCTCCCACCCCCATCTCTGGCCTGTACTCCATCTCTGTATACATAAATAAATAAAGTAAGTCTACTGGTCTGATGAGACCAATTACAATACTAGCCCCCAAAAAGGGAGAGAATCACTAAGGAAATAAAATCACTCATTCAACTCCCCCCCCCCCAACTCCCCATTAAAATGTTGGCTCGGGCCCTCCCTGGTAGCACAGCGGGTTAAAGCACAGCACTGAGAAGCTGAAGCCACTTCCGCATGAGTTCGATCCCCGCCTGCCCCAGAGGTGAACACATGGCGTGGCAGACCTCTCCTGACCTGCCCGCTGCTCCCCTCAGCAGTGTACTTCATTGATCTGCCTGTTCTGCTCCCTACTCTCTCTGGCGAAGCCTCTCACTGCCCCTGAGCCTCTGGCCTATACCCCATACCCTATTTGTTCTGTATGCACAAATAAATAAATCTTTAAAAAAAAAAAAATGTTGGCTCAATGAGAATAGGGACCTTGTGTATCCTGTCCCCTGCTGTCTCCAGAGCACTTAAGAGATAGTGCCTGGCATATGAATACTCATTAAAATGTAGAAGACCTGTAACTAAGTCAGTGACAACAGAGTTGAAGTGGAGGGGGGAAAAGTTTTCAAATAATACTATCAACAAAATATTTCTTTCAATAGAATACTATCAGTTGCATCAGGTATACCAAACCAAATTCCAAAGTTAGTTCGCTTTTCCCATGTAATAAGCTTCCATCTCTGGGAACTGTTATATGCCATCCCATAGAACAATGTCAATGTTTCAGATAGATAAAACTATGAATAAATTTTAGTATGTATTTTCCCTGGCACCTGAAGAGCAAAATAATCAGCATTCGTGGGATCTTCTTTTGGCTCAGCATAACCATCTTAAATCATCTGTGGCTTTTTCTATCAAATGCACCCAAGATATGTGATGGGAAAAGTAGGTAAAGGTTTTAAATTTGGAAAAGGCTTTAAATTTGATCTGTGTTACTTAGTAACTATGTGAACTTGCTAAGGCTCTCAATTTCCTCATCCTCACATAAAAATTATATTAATCTTAGTTTCTGCAGAAATATTTTTATATGAAGAACATTACAGTCAAATATGATGAATGCTTTATTTAAATCTCATAAATCCAATGTGGTGTCCATGCTAATGAAAATGTTTTAACATTCTCATACCTAATTCTTACCTCGCATTACTTTCTGGCATAAATGTTCCACTCCAGTAAAAGCCATTTAACTTTAATCACCTGAACACATCTAAATATTCCCTAAAACTTAGCTTATTTTGTTCTCTTACCTCCCCTTTCACTCAATCCCACTCATTCTTCAAGGCTCCAAGTTCTTGGTTTTCTATCAAGCTTCTCTTCTGACCATCTAACCTAACAATGATCTCTCCACCTCACTTAAAGTACCTAACAAAGTAGTGTGCATTATGTAAAGGTGTCTATCAAGACACCTATTTGATAACTTAGTGACTGGTCAGGGAAGCAAATATTTAATGGAATATAACCGTATGTTCCTCCTCCCATTTCATTCTGACTTAGCTTTTAAAGAGACAAGACTGGCAACTCTTGTTCCAAAACAGCCAACCTCTCTCTCTTCAGATGCTTAACAAGCCTGCCTCTTAAATGCAGTTCTTCATACCAGCTTGTGTCTGTGCAAAAGTCATCTTCGCCTTTCCTTTTCCCAATTAACCTTCCCAATTAAAATGTAAAACAATAAAAGAGACAAGTCACCAAATAATGTGTTCACCTTGCCTGTAGGCAGACCTTAGCCTTTTCTTCCCATCTCTCAGAGACTGTAAGGAGCTCCTGTAGTTCAGCCATTGCTTTCTCCACAGCATGGTGGGGTGCCAGCCCCACCCCAGAGTCTATCAATTTCTTCATGACATCCAACGTGACTTGTTGTGGATCTGATAAGGTCAGTCTTACTTCATCCAACCATCGAGCCTGCTGTAGCTCTTGTTTCAGCCGAGCTAATTCAGGTAGCTCCACATAAAGACTAGACCCCATGTCTATCAACATCTGGAGTTTGGAAGAATCTGGGGTTTCATCCATCATGGCATCTTGAGCACGCTCATGAAATTCTTCAACATCATCCAGCAAATTCTGAAAAGGTTAAAAATTAAAAAAAAAAAAAATTAAAGGTGCAAAATAAATATGGAATAGACATAGGCAGACTAACAAATTCTAGACCATGATATAATCTCACCATCACAGCATGAAGTAAATATGATACTTAAAGGGATAAAACTACTACTCTGTAATTATGTACATGCCCCTATTTTTTTTTGCATGTTTTAAAAAATTTTGTTTGAAATTATCAGCATTTTTGTCTTTTCTTATGCATGGGATTGGGGGAGGTGAGGTTTACAAAGACTCTTCAGCCTTGGAGATTTTATAGATTTTACCTAATTATCTAAATTTTACTTAAGTTTTTCTTCAGTTTTAATTACATGGTCCTACTTTTAAAATATGATTCATTCACTGAGTGACTGATGACTTAGATGCAAGCACTGCTCTAGGCACAGAGCATTAAACAAAATATAAAAAGTCCTTGTCTTAAAGAGACATACTTTCAAATATAAGTAGTTATAGACATTAGGTACACTAATAAAATGTTAGTTTTAAGAGCCATGAAAATAAAATTGGGCAACATTATAGAGAAAGGCCAGTAGGTAATGCGGGGGGTTGAGGGGGACATCTTACTTTTTCAATGATGATCACAGATGACAGATGAATCAAAACTAAAATGATAAATGAAGAGGTGGAGGTGGGAACCATATGAAGATCTATCGGAAGAGCAGTTCGCAAAGCAAAGTATCAACTGCAAAAGCTTTTAAAGAACAAGAAGCTTGGTGTCTTGCTCCAAAACAGATGACAAAGAAATGAAGCTAAATAAAGCAAAGGTCAGATTACACTGATTAAAATAAATTTGGATTTCATCCTAATGGCTTTGAAGAACCACCAAAGGATGTTAACCACAAGGAAGATGAGCTAATTTATGTTTTATAACATCATCCTAATTACTAAGTGAAAAATAAAATAACAGAGACAAGAGTAAAAGAAAGAGTAGCTAAAAGGCTGTGGCATTAATCTGAAGGACAGATCCTAGTGGTTCAGAGTATATTAGGCAATGGGGATCAAGACATATGGTTCACTTTGCAACACACTTTGGAGATAATAGCAACGCTCATTTAGAAATTTGTGTGGGATATAAGGGAATCAAGGAACTCAAGACTTTTGATCTACTAAAAGACTCTAAGATGTCTTTTAGTCTTCTAAAGGTAAATGTAGAGCATGGATATATAAGTCTACAGAAAAGAAGAAGAGTAGCTTAGAGCTGGATATTTGATAAATAGAATGTAGATAACAGTTAATGTCACTGGACTAACAGACATCAGGATCCAGAGTACAGAAAGGACTAAGTGTCCCCAGGAGACAAAGAACAGCAAAGATGACTTTGAAACAGACAAAAATGTAAGTAAGTTAAGGAAACTAGAGAGTGGAATATAATAGATGTCTCTCAAGATGGAAAGAGTGGGTGATACCAAAAACCTCTTACAAAATGGATTAAGACCAAAGTATAGCTGACATTAGATTTGACAAGTTTATAATCTTGATAAGAGCTTTGATACCCATACCCACTTCAAATTACAAAAACACACTACAAAATTACTAAAAGATGATAAACCACACAGATTAAGTATGTCTGAGAGTACACTTTTGAAATCTTAGCATATTCATTATACCATGAGGCCCAGATAATTTCAGAATGCTGCTTTTAAAATGCCTATGAACTAATAACTCACTGACACATTCAGCTTCTTTTAATTCCCTGTGTTTCAGTTACACCTACACTAAATGGGCGTGTGTGTTTAAAGGATAATCAGATCTGAAATTTCTATGGTGAAAAAATTCTAACTTGGTCTTATTGTCAGATTTTCAAATGGAACACAGGCTAAGTACAAAACCAAGAGATTCTTACTGCTTTCTAACAAAACTTCAGTAACAACACTTACGAAGAAAACAGTATGAACAAAAAAACTAGTATAGACACCTTAATTCTGTTTACCCAAAACAGTAGCCCACAGTTCAAAGGATATAACCCAGAAAATATGTAATACTTCACCTTTACTTGTCGGGCTTGGCTGATGACACATGGAAGGCTAAAAAGCTGTTGGACAAAGGCCTTCAATTCTTCTACTGTCAGCTTGGTCCGAGTCCTTCCACTATCTGGGTTCTGCCTGGAATGAAATAATATTCAGAAGTAAAAAAAATATAGTCATTCTGATATCAAAGGGGCTTCTAGTCTCTTCTAACAGAAGTGATCTCAGAATATTTGCATTTGGGGGAGTCACTGCAATGGTAATCACTTCCAAATTAGTTTTTTTAAGTCTTTAGCTAATTGTTCAAAGATTGAACACTGAGTGATAGTTCATCCAATCTCTAAGTACAGTTCAAACACTGAATCAAATCCTCTCAGCAAAATATTAAATTCATTAAACGAAATCATCTATCTATAAGCTTAACATGTGAAACAAAGGCCTTTCACGTGGTTTAGCAGTCAAGGAATACTTGAATTTTAAAAATTCTGTTTGAATGTGTTTTTTTGAATGTGCATTTTCTATGAAAGGGTCTTTAAAGTTGGGTCAGTAACCCAATGGCAGATGAAAATTAGCTGATCAAAGTCTTTACAAAAGGTTCTCTGTTAAAATGTTTGATAAAACGTAAACCTTAAAGCCCTATGTGAACTGCTATAAAATAGTCAATCAGATAAAATAATCAATCAGTATGAATATAAAACAATACCACAGAAAATTTAAGATACAGAAATTAAATCAAGGACATATATATATATATATATATATATATATATATATATATACACACACACACACTTCTTGTAATAGCTGCTTCCATGCCTCTATGAAGGTTACTCATTGATGCTGCCTGCCTGCAGTTGGTAATAATATTTATTTACAAGTATTTACTGTACAACTATGTGCTACTCGTTATTGTAAGCATAGTAAAAAATGCAGCAATGAAACAAAAGGATAAAGATCCCCAATATTCTAGTCTAGGAGAGATTTCAATAGGGTCAAGAAAAAAAGGAAATAGAAAGTAAAATAATGTATCAGTAAGTAGCAGCACAAGTGTAAAAACAAAACAAAACAAAAAGAATGAAAAGCACAATTTTATGAAGGATTACCAGAGGTCTTTCTAAAATGCTGTATCTGAAAAGACATGGAAAAAACCAGGCAGTAAGTCACCTGGATATGATGGGAAGAGTGACAAACAGAACATACAGCAGGTATAAAGACCCTAGAGAGGAATGTACCTGTTGTGTATGAAGAACAAGAGGTGAGGGTTGCAGCATATAACACAGGCAGAAGAGCACCAGAAGGTAAGATTAAGGCATTTTTGGAAGAGGTAAAAACAAGGCTAGCAGAGGTCCAAAACAATGCAGAGCCTCGCAGACCAGTTACACTGTTAGATTTTACTGGAGGGTGGGGAGTAAAAGGAAACCACTAAAGAATTCCGAATTCTCCTTAGTCTTACCTATGTTTCTGCTTTTTGCTCAGAAGCAGCTGAGCCACAGAAGCACAGGTCTCAGCTTCTTTCACAGCATCCCTGAGTTTTCGAAAGAGCTCATTCTCTGGGTATTTCCTATCCTCAGCATCTTCCAGCATTACTCGTAACTCAATTAAATCTGTAAACACACACACACACATACACACAAAGCCATGTTTTATGACCACAGATGTTAAAAAATACTTTAAAATAGACACCAATCTCCTCTCAAGTGAGTCATCAACCCATTAGGAGAAATACAATGCAGCTATAAAAATCTCACCTATGCAACATAAGCATGTGGCCAGGCACCCATTCCAAATCTCTATAATTTATTTCAAGTAAAAAACTTTATACCCTCATTTCTGTTAATAGAGGCTCTTCAAAATATACATCTACCACAAGTGGACATATCTGACTTATTACTATACATCAGCTTTTTTATTTAAAAAAAGATTCCCATTCACAGCAACATAGACAGAGCTAGAAGGGCTTTTGCTCAGTGAAATAAGCCAGAAAGAGGAAGAAAAATATTGGATGGTTTCATTATAGGTGGAATATAGCAAAACCAAATAAAGGGTCAGGAAAATAATAACTAAGTAAGACAAAATTAGCAGGCAACTATAAATCAGACATTCTGCAAAGGGATAGGGGGAATAGGAGAGGAATCAAAATAGTAGAGAAGAGCACAAGGAATGATGATGATGATTCACAGTTGAGAATTTCACTGAGAATACACCTAAAAGGAGAAAGCATACATTGTACAAAAATGAACAATGATATAAAATATATAAATACACACACACATAAATAAAAAGTAAAAAGGATTCTCAAAAATAAAATTAAGTCTACAGTCAACCAAACCATTAGCTTCAAATGTCTTATGAAGCCTAAAAGTCTTCCTTAATGGAAAAGAAATACAGGCAACAATCTCAGTGTATGCATTCAAAAGGAGGAAACCACCTTTCTTGTGGTTGAAGTTTGCAGATAATGCTTCTGTAACACGACTGACCCATGTGTCATAGGACTGTGCCCTGACTTTTACACCGTATAGCAGAGAAGGAAGGTCTTCTAATGGGTAGCGATATCTATAAAACAAAACACACACAGAAAAACAAAAACTTCAAATATTAACAACTTGAGAATAAATTTAAGTGCAACTAACTTAAAGTATAATGGCCTAAAGAATGGGAATCTTGGTTCACATAAAGAGATAATAAAAAAAAGCCCACAGAATTTTAATGCAGGGATAGACTAGGAACATGTAAAATCAAGTAATAAAAAAATTAAGTTCAGTTGTCAAATTTAGGGTCAACCTTAAAAGGACTGGTACTCAAGCAGGGAGGCACATAGACAAGTTGTTACCAGTACAGACACAGGGAGCGCAATCACAAACACCAAACATATTAACACATGTTTTTTAAAAGTAATGCAAGTTTTATAAAAACTTCTGTATACCTAAGACATTTCTTCTGCATGGGACAGGGGCAGAGATCAGTTGGATGGTAGAGACACACAAGTCGCTCAGGGTTACAGGAGCACGTGAGAGCAGAGAGAAAACATGTGGTTCTGCATGCCAAACACTGCCGCTCATCATCTGGAACAAGTTCAAAAACCTCTTCTTCTGACATGAGGACGCCCTGAGAAACAGTTAAAAGTCACTAGGTCATGTCTTCTTTCTCTTCTCAATCATCAAGAGCTTAAGTCATTAAATTATTTTCTACAATTCTGAAGTTAAGATATAGACATAGGTGATACAATAGCACATTACCAAAATACTTCCTAAAAACAAGTAATTTTTTTAAATGGGCAAGATTAAACACTGGTATCATAGAATGCATATTCGACTGGTCACAACTGTTTTTAAATGCAAGGAAGTAGTTACTACAAAGGTCAAAATAGTTATTTCTTGAGAGGGGTAGAAAAACTAGTTAGAAGGCTCACTGAGGTGGCTGCAAAGAATTCTGTGACAAGGCTGTGATGGCAACAAAGTTATATATAGATTTTTTTAATGTGATTTTATCTTCTCCTTAAAACAAATAAAGTTTCAATAATTACTTTCTCCAGAGACGACACATCCTCAAACTTGATAAACTAATAATCTATGATCTGAAAACAACAATGATATTTACAAATATAGGCAAGGATAAAGTATGAAATTATTTAAACTATGAAGTCAGAATAAAATCTACTTTAGCAAAATAGCAAAAACGAAATTAACCAATTCAGTATGCCAGTTTAAGAAAATAAGGTATTTGAAGTATTTCCATTCACTATGCAAGGGTTCCCTTAGACTGGTAGACACCAGACCAGTGTTTTCAACATACTTTTTTTTTTTTTAGTGTGTCAGTTTATAAGTAACTGTATTACTGCAGACTTTTGTAAGTAACTACATAAGAAATTCTACCTGACACTATTCCATTAAAAAAAAAAATCTAGAGATCGAATCCCCATGCTTCAACTTAAACCAAAATGACAAGTATAAAAACAGATAAGCTTTGGGGCCTCCCTAGTAGGTCAAGGGTTAACATCTCAGCATGATCAAGCTATATCCCCAGCTAGGGAACTGACCACATGGCGCAGCAGACCTCTCCTGACCTGCCTGCTCCTCCCCTCCGCAGTGGACTTCAGTCAGTCCACCTGTTCTGTTCCCCATTCTGTCTCTGGTGAATCCTCTCTCACACCACCTCCAATACCTCTAGCCTACACCCAGTTATTGTATACATAAATACATTTTTGAAACTTAAAAAAATATATATATATGATCTTTGCTGAATGTGATTTTTGTTTCAACTCCTAAAGAAATCAAAGGTGAAAGTGGTTACTTTCTATGGGTTCAATTTTTAGTATGTTCCATGAATAGTATATAGTAAATGTGTTCAGTAAACTCACCATTTGTACAACAGACTCTCTTAATCGTGTCTCTTCTTCGGTCATGAGAGTCAATTCTTTACAGACCATGGCAGCTAGTCCCACATCTAAGCAATCTGGATCTGCTGCCATTTTGAAAATGAGCTCCTCATGTGAAAAGACACAATGGCGTCTTAGCCGTCGATAATGATTCACACACTGACGTCCAATGGGCAACTAAAACAAGGTAAGAATCTCAAATTAAATTACTCGCTTGTAACATATTTCAAAATCACTATTTACAGTCAGATACTCTCTTTTAATGTAAGGAAGACAGAATAACAAACAACATTTGAATATAACAATTATTGCCGTATTCAGCCTTACAAACCTAGGACGAATTTCAAGGATACTCCCACAAAAAATTCCCATAATTTGAGATGGTGAGCTTCTGGCCTAAGCTGCTCATTTTCTACTCAGTATGTGTATTTGATTTTTTACTCCTCACATGCACTAAGAAGTACAAGTTCCTTGACATATAAAATGAGGCAACAAATTCTTTTCGACCATTCTAACATGCTACTGCTCTACAGGGAAAAAATGGCTATGAAAGTAGACATATGCATATATACAAAGAAGTTTGGACAAGTTTCCAAAGAACAAAAACAGCAACAACAACAACAAAAAAAACAGATGATGTTACAGGGAAGGAGGGAGGAAAATAAAAAGGGAGAAAAAGGCACTACTTAAGTGATTCACAATAACTGACTTTAATTTTTTACAGATCAGAGCAAAAGAAGATTTAGGTTTTAACATCTAGAAATTCTTTTTAAAACTACCAGTCTGGTCTAAAGAGAATTCAAAATGAAGTCATGAAATTATATTAACTTTGCTTTCTCTAAGTGAAATAAATTACTAAATGGTCACTTTTCATAAACCATAAAGAATCCCTTAAAAATACTATCTCAGCCCTCCCTGGTGGTGCAACAGGTTAAAGCCGAGCACTGCCAGCTAGCCGCAGCTGCTACAGTGTTGAGTTCGATTCCCAGTCCCAGAGGTGATCCACACGGCACAGCAGACCTTTCCTGTCTCACCTGTTGCTCCCCTCAGCAGTGTAAATTGTCAATCTGCCTGTTCTGCTCTCCACTCTGTCTTTGGTGAATTCTCTCACCACCCTTGCACCCCTGACCTGAACCCAGTTCTATATGCATAAGTAAATCTTTAAAACAAATAAAATAAAAATCCTAGCTCTAACACACACGCACACGCGCACACGCACACACGCACACGCGCATGCATACACATACACACACACACACACACACACACACACACACGGTCGTGATGGCAGAAAGAGACCATTCTCACATTATCAGACTTGGAGACTCAGCAACAGCAGGTCATGCTGTGGACCAGACTGCAAGCATGGTGCCTGTTCAAAGATCATATGATAAAAGTCACCTTAAATGCAAATAATGACACTAGCCTCAGTGGAACTTTATACCTCAACAAACAGGAAAACATGTTGCACCAAGAGAAAATTTGCACAGCTGTTTTATAAAACTAAGAATCCTAACAAACCAACAATCATAAAATATGTACCATTTGAAGCTGGACAGTATTTCAATAAAACAGTGCTTCTACACTGAAAAACAAAAGCTTAATCCACAAAAGAAGATATGTCTATTTTTCTACACTGATCCTGAAACTGCTCAAGTTCCAAAGTTGAACATCAATCTCATTGCTCTTTCTTACTCTTTTGAAGCAAAGAAGGTTACAACTTGCTGGTTCTGGAATGTAACAGCAATCAGCAAGTAAGTCCTGCTTCAACTTTGTGATTTTTGAAAAATCATGTTTCCTCAGAGAAAAAAATATGCTACAATAATGGACAGTTTTATATTTTAAATATTATATAATAGTGATTCTAATTTACCCCATTTAAATTTGAGAGAAAAAGCTTAGCTTTTTATCATAAGGAATCCACATGCCTATTCAGAACGTATGATCATTCCAAAGTCAAGAGAGTTTGGTAAATAATATTAAAAGAAACTACTTGTTTTTTAACTATATAGGCATGGACTTAAAGGACCTAATTCAATGGTCCCCTTCCAAGTATTAGTCCTTCTTACTTGTAGAAAAGAGGATGTTTTATTTGTTAATACCCAAAGTTATTTGTTTTACAATCTAGGTCAAAATTCTAAAATAATGGGTTAGTACTTTCATTATGAAGTGTCACTTTTAAAAGTTTGAAATAGAAGGGGAATCACTACGTCTTAACAGCCTACTGAAAAATTACATTCACGTTTCAAATTTCATTTCTCCTTTTAAAATCTAAGGCTTTTTCGGGCCTCCCTGATGGCAGAAGGGGTTAAGTCTTAGCACTATGAAACTATCCACAGCTACTGCAGCGTAAATTCAATCCCCGACCAGGGAGCTGACCCACATGCCACAGCAGACCTCTGGTTTCTCAGTCATTGTCACCCTCAGAGGTGTATTTCAGTCAACCAGCCTGCTCTATTCCCCCACTCTATCTCTGGTGAATCCTCTCATCGCCCCCTCCATTACACTTCTGGCCTTATCCCAGTGTGCATAAATTTTTTAAAATCTTTTAAAAAATAGTATCTAGGGCTATTTTATATATTCAAAACACTTAAGAGTTACTTTAAAAGTTCAGTGTCATAAAACTGAAATAAAATATGTAATTATCTCCCAGGGTGCCAACATTTCTTGTTGTTTGAACCAAGTCCCTGAATGTTAAAATGTTAGTGGGACATTGTGAAGATTAACTGACATCAGTAGTTCTTCTGTGAGCAATCTGTTGTTAAAAAAAAAAAAAGTTATCGAAATAGTAAAAACAAAACAACACAAAAAACAAAAAAACGATAAATCAACGTGCCCATAGAAATTAAGGTTTAAGTTCTGAATAGGCCCCAAAATGTTAATAAGAATGACCCCCAAATACCCATAAACTCAGTACCACTAAAGGAAAAAAGTCAGTGTATTTGTAGTTGTTTCCCAATCAACAAGATATACTCATGACTAATTACTTTTGGGAAGCTACCTCATACCAAAGAAATCACTAGCAATTACTGACAAAACAGTATAGTTCATAGAAAAAACCAGTATTATACATCCAGTATTACAGTTGCTCTTTTAAGTTTTTTTTTTAAAAAGCATACAAGAACTAGGATGTAAGTCAGAGGTGCTGGGGGTGAAAAGATTCACCAGAGACAGAGTGGGGTGCAGGACAGGTGGATCCACTGAAATCCACAGGTGAGAGGAGCAGTGGGCAAGACAGGAGAGGACTGCTATACTATGTGGGTCAGCTCCCTGACCAGGGTTCAAACTCATGCTGCAGTGGCTGTCCACAGCTTTATAGTGTTGAGACTTTAACCCCTGTTGTCACCGGAGAGGCCCCTAAAGTAACTTTTTCTGAAAAAGGACTATGGAAAATCATAAAATGGCATGAATAAAAGCACCTGATTGTCTACAGGAAGAAAATAACAGTGATATTTTTAAGATTAAAATCACAGAGCTAGATATTTGAAGACTGAATTAATTCTTGAAAAGATCTAATTGATAATCATTAAAAAATCCAGAAGTGCTCAGAGAAAGCAGACTAAAGGAACCATGTTCCCTAGCAAAAACTCAGAAAACATCAATTACCCATTTAAAGCTTAGACAGAATATAGAGAATATACATGAGAAAAATTATAATTCTTACAAATGAAATCTATGATGGAAGGTATCTGAACTTTTAAAATTATGACTTCCACTCATATTTCCACTGTTGTACTGATGAACCCTCCCTTCTCCAGCTAAATAAATGTGGCAACTAGGAAGCATTTCCCAGGGGTGTTAGTAGACGTACAACAGCTACTTGCTACAGAACAGACCCAGTCAGCAGTACAGAAGTTGACAGCTTCAGCAAAGTTGTAACCCTGATTAAATCCAGAGTGGTAAGCACGAGGAAATGTCACAACAAACTCGCCGGCACACTGATTGGTTCTGTACACCTAAATGCAAATTGGGAAAAGGAGTATCAAAAAAGGGGGAAGGGAGGTGGGGAGAGACAGATTTTTAATCAGTCAGTTTCAGAAGCATTTGCGAAAGACAAAATTCTACCCCATTAATATAATCACTAATAAAAAAATAGTAATTCAAGTAATTCATGACAAGAATTATCAGTCAAAAGAAATCCTCAAGGAGAAAATGTTAGTCTCTGAGGTACTTTATTCCTAACTTGATAAAATTTTTACCAGAACTTTTTTTTCCTTCTTGAGTTGTAAACTGTGGTGAAGGACAGAATCCCCTCCTACTATAGGTCTGTTTTTAGAAATTAACTGACTGGCTCATGCATCTTATGGAGCTAACCCAACAATCAGTTTTCCTGAATTATACTTTTTTTTTAATTATTATTAATTTTTTGCATCATTCTTCATTTTGTGCATATGAATTTCACTGTTTTTATACTATTTTTGGAATCTCTAGATTCTGGTATAAATCTATTAACCATTAAAGACAAAGTTAGCATAAATACTTAACTCTTAGTAGCAAATTCATTAAATTTATACTTTATCAGGTATTAGCACCTTAAATCTAACGATTATTTCCAAAACAAACTTTGAAAAAGTACATGAAGCATTTGTAGTATGTTTTTTACATCATTGTTTGTGTGGGGGGGGGGGGAACAACTGTGAAATCTTTATGTAAAGTATCTCAAAAGTACAAGCATTAGTAATAACTACCACTTAAAATACTTTTACTTTAGTTAAGCAATGCTAATAAAACATTTTGTCAAAACCAGGTAAGAGTTCAATAAAAACAGAAGGTTAGTTTAAGGCAATCATACATAAAATAAGATTCAGACCTTTCCTGACCAAACGTTTTCCCCTTCAGGATATAAATTCTAGTTTTGTTAGATGACATCCTCTTATACTTCCAGTTACAAAATGAAGCATGAATTTAAAATTAACATAAACTTAAAAATACTAAAGGGAGACAGAAAAAGACTCACAGGCACACCATGTTCCATTAGCACATTGGGATTCATGATGGTGACTAACTGATGTAGTAGATCAGGCTGAGATTCAAATAACTCAGGGGCCAGCTCTCTCATCACCTCCTCCAGCTGTTCTGCAGCATGAGATGGCACACCATACCATGTCTTTGGCTCCCCCCTAACAAAAGAAGTAACTGGTTAGCTAGGAAGAGCATGGAACCAATGAGGGTTGAGTCTCTGATTCAAATTCACTGAATCAAAATTAACTTTGTCTTGTTCCATGGCCACAGATTATATGCTCTGAATCTTTGCAATCACCTCATAATCTGTAAATTTACTTACTTACATACTTACGGCTGTTAAAGAAGAAATGAAAGCACATTAGATCAGGAAAGTCACCATTATTTATAGAATAGCTGAACTTCATAATCCTAATAAAATTTACAGTTCTGTCCCTAATGTTGAAAATGTTCTCTACTTGTGCTGTCCAATACAGGGACCCCACACCTACTCATAAAACACTACAGTGCACTTGATACTGAGGAAGTATGTTTTTAGTTTCACATAGTCGTTAATAACCTCATGTGGCTAGTGGCTATCACATTACACAGTACAGCAACAGAGCACAGAAGAAAACCACTAGTCTCCCACAGCACAGAGTGACCTGAGTACTATCTTCCAAATGGACAGAAAAGTTATCACTTAGTTAAGACTATAATAACAGACAAGGAAATGGGTAAGTAAAAGCTATAGATGAAATAAAAAAAAAAATCAAAAGAATTTAATGAGTATATATGTAACTTGAGAAAATGTTACTAAAAAGGGAAAAAATCATTTAAAACTTTCGAATACTGCAAGTCAGGTCTTAATTATATAAACTTTAAACAGCCTACTTAGTCCAAGTACTTCCATGTGCACAGCAAGTACCACATGGTCTAAAACTCTAGGTTCTGCTGCAGGCAAATACAGCGTGCAAGGATGTGGAACCTTAAGACCACTAAGACTTCGCTCCTCAACAGATTATCTTACTTTTGGGTATGAAATACTTTTAAAGTTAGCCCCTCCTGATACATCACCTATTATTATCACAACTTTGAAAAGGTCAATGAAACATGTATACTGAAAACAGACTGTACACACCAGTGCAAATAGTTGATGGAGTAACTCCAATGATCTTCTATGTGCCAGCAAAAAGAAGAGAAGCACATTCCTACATACAACCATGGCACCTTCATGCCAGAGATGTCTACATTAATATGTGCAAGAACAGACTGCTCTAAAACAGGCATATTATTCAAGTTCCAGCCAGAGAGTGCATATTCCTACAAAAGAAAAAAATAAATGTGAGTGATCAGAAATGACGGGTGCCCAAAAGAAATCTCAAGGAAGACTTCAAAAAATAAAAAGTTGTACGCAATTTATAGTACTTCAAGTAACCTAGTCAACAGAATTAGTACTCTTTGCTCTCTACTACAGGCAACTGATATAAACATTTAATCCAATATCCCATCTTTGCAATATTTAGAGTACTTTTAATTATTTCAGATACTTCTGATTTACTCTGAAGCATATAAGCAAGGGCATTTATTCTCCCCCACCTCAGTTTACCAGTAAAAGAGCAAGCAAGCAATTCAATAGGTTACCATTTTATTTTTACTTTATTCCCAGAAATGTAACTTCCCAAAATATTTATCACTGTATTTACAGAATAGTGCCAGCCTCTGTGAAAACTAAAGAAAACCTAAGATACAAATCATGAACCTGTGACAAAACTAAAGACTAAAGCAACACAGAAGTCACTACCACTAGCCCCACTACAAACACATGCAGAAATACTGGGTAAATTATAACAATAACAGGAACAGGTCTCTTAAACTCAAAAGAAAAAAGAATTCCCAGGTTCCAGAAACAAAAGGAAATAAAGTCAAAATAAAAATGGGAAGTTGTTTCAATTTTCATGAAGGTCTATTATGTTTACTTTTGTATGTTTGAAAGGCTCTATCTGCACAGTTTAAAAATGAAACCTTAGTGTAAGAAGTTACATGGCCAATGACAAAAGGCTAAAGAGAAAATGAACCAGAAGACAGATGCATTCATAATACATCTCAAATAAGAAAACTCTTTAAGTCTAGAGTTACAGGAGACTGAATAAGAAAGTTTAATAGAGGATTAATTAAGAAATCCACTAAATAAAAAGAGGGGGCCTCCCTACTGTCCTAGGGGTTAAGTCTCAGCACTATCACATTATCACCACTGTGGCATGAGTTCAATCCCCTCTGATTCCCAGCCAGGGACCTGACCCACATGTGACCTCCCGTCTCACCTGCTTCTCCCCTCTCGCGTGCTTCTCCCTCAGCAGTGTATTTCAGTGGGTTTGCCTGTTCTGCTCCCCATCCTCTCTGAGTCCTCTCTCTCTCTGCCTCACAGACTCCTACACACACCCGCTACCTAACACCCCAATTCTTCTACAAATAAAATTAAATAAAATTTTTTAAAATGCTGAAAAGGCTATATATACTTTTACTTGTACATCTTTCTGCACTATGAAACTTTTCTTTTTGACACAGGGGGTGAGAGGATTCACCAGAGTCAGAGTGAGAAGCAAAACAGGCAGGCAGATCAAATGAAACACATTGCTGAGGGGAGCAACAGGCAGGTCAGGAGAGGTCTGCCACACCATGTGGGTCACCTCCCTGGCCAGGGATCAAACTCATGCTGCAGTGGCTGCAACAGCTTCATAGTGCTGTGCTTTAACCTACTGTGTCCCCAAGGAGGGTCCCTTAAGGGCCCCTTAAGATTAGAGAAAGATACTTGTCTACGATGCAAAGGTTAAATCAGCTTGGGTGTCAATGAAAAGTCTGGATACTACTATCTGCTCTGCACCTCTTCTTCTGGCAGCATCTTTCGCCGACTGTCCTTTACAGGAAATCCACTTCCAAAGTCTTTTGAGGAAATATCAGCTCCATACTCCACAATAACATCTTCTTCAATGCTGCTCACCAGTCGCCAGAATTCCTTTTCTACTAGTTCGGTGGGAACCATCTACAGTGGTTAAACAAAGATTACAGATTACTAACTCACTGTAGCCATAACCCACTTTAACACTGCGTAACCTTTTGGTTTGCATATATAACAGTGATACTAACAGACTGGACCAATCATGCAGCCTACATGTATAGTAGGTTATGGCATCTAGATGTGTATAACTGAACTCTATGATGTTCACACAAAAATAAAATTGCCTAATGATGCATCTCTGAGAATATATTTCCATCATTAAGTGACGACATGTACACAGATCAAGCAAACAAATAAAAAATTAAATAGAAAATCTCATTCCTCAGAGCTGAAAAGAATGTGGTCCTTAGCTTTTCCAATGAAGATGGAAAAAAAAGCTAAAGACAACTGAGATGGTCAGAAAAATGTAATAAATTTGAGCTGACATTTTCTACAAGCTGCTTTGCACCTAGAAAGTAGATAAAGGTATCTCAGGTATCAAGGCAGAAAAAGGAAGTGCGAAATAATGGCTTGGCAAAATTCTGTGTAAGAACTTGGTGGGGGAAAAAAGAACCTCAAGAACTTCTAGGAAAAATAGCAAACTTCCTATTACAAAAAAAAAAAAAAAAAAAAAAACTGAACAAAAGCATCAACTGCCACATACTAATTTTCTATAAAGGACTACTCAGAGAAGATGACCAAGAGAATAAACAATTCAAGGATCAAAGCAGATTTTTCAACAGGAGAATGTACACTGACACAACCGAGTGAAAGAAATAGATGCCAGGCCCCTAAGCTTTAGAACTGGTGACCTACTGTCTTTTTCTATTGCTCTTTGTGCTATCTACAAAATAAGAGAAAGTAAAGCCTAAAGTTTGGACTCAGATAAATCTTTGTATCTCCCCAAATTGATCTAAAAGATACTCACATGGACTGGCATATTGAAATAATCAGACTTAAAATTATCTGCCATCTCCCCAAAGCTCTGAAGTGTATATTCTCGTACAGCTTGTTCAAAACCAAAGGCTTCTCGAGGTTTATTACATTCCTGGAAAGAAAAAAATATGTAAGATTAATTCACTAAAACAAGAAATTATTGACGCAATGCACTACCTTCTTTAATTGAGTTCATTTAATTTTTTAAGTGAAGCAAACCAAAATCAGCCCTAGACAGCAAAACATGTATTAACTTATTGCAATGTGAAATCAAGAAACAATGTTACAGAACTAAAAGTAATAGGAAATGAAAAAGCTTTAGATTTTGAGTTGGAACTAAGCTCTGACACTGAAACAAATACCTACAGGACCCATGACTTGGAATCAAATCCAAAGATGTCTTATTATTCTTGTATTATCAGTGAATCTTGTTATAAAGAAATTAACATTCATGGAAAAAGGAAAGGTAATGGACAAGCAAAATATACAAAACACTGAACTGCTAGGATGTCTATTGAGAAGAATTATGTTTTCACACTAAGAAACATGGTCAATAGCTTATTAATACAAATAATCACTTAAGAGTAAAATTGCTCTAACAGTTAATCTCAAGAAAAATAGTAACTCAAAGCCCATAAAAGATCTCTAAATATATCCAATCAACTCCTTCCTTCATGTTTCATCACATTGTGTTAAAACAAGATGATTAACAAGACAATGACACAAAGATAGTTTTTCAATGAAGATTATTTAGTACAAGTCAAAATTTAAATAAAGACATCATCATTTAATTGGGTAGCATGAAAACTGGAAGCATAAATCCTCGTTCTAGAGCTTCATGTCTGACTTTCACCTTTAATTAAAAAAATGATTAATTTTAATTAGAAAACAAAAGATAACCTGTAGTCTTTAACTTTTAATGTTTTCCTATATGACTATTCATCTGCACTAGTAAACAGTGTATTCTAGTAAACAGTGCAAAAAAGCAGTATTTGAAAGATGACCTGCTATAATACAATTGTTACATTTCCATTTAACCACTCTCAAAAAACTGGAAATTTAGCCCCTGAAACACAGAGAATAAAGATGCATTTTAGAATGTGTTCGCTGTATTTGTATACATATGAAAAAAAGGATCTGAGAAGGTTAGGTCTGTACCTCAGCAACACATTTAGGACACCTCCAGTCTCCTTTGGGCACATCAGGCAGTGGAGGAATTAAGCAAAATGTATGATAGCTGTCATCACAGCCATCACACAAAAGCAATTTATCCTCATTATTTCCCCGACCACAAAACATACAAACATAGAGATCAACCTGTAGGAAAAAAATCAGAAAGATTTTTACCAGAACAAAACAATATACGCTAAAAAAAAAAAAAAGATTTTCATAAAACTGCATATATACTTCCTGTTTCAACAGGTAAGCTAATGAAAGCATTTCAAATTATGATAAAGATTACAACTCTACAAAATCAACTTATTGTAAACAAAATATGCCACCATCATAGGTCCTATGTACAACAGTGTCCTATGCTGGACACTGTCTATAATATAAGCACATGGATTTAAAGATTCAATGAATGAGTCACAAGATGTATGTCTTAGGGGAACAGTCTACATATATAGAACAAAGCAAGAGTAATAGTATATAGACTTCATCTACTTTATAATCACCAAGTTCTCTAACCAAATGAACTGCCATACCAAAATAAGGCAAGACAAAAAGTGTAAAACTACAATTTAAATAAATCAATTCTGAGCCTTCCTGATTATAAACAGCACTATCAAGCTATTTCCAACCACTGCAGCATGAGTTCAATCGCTGGCTGGCCAGGAAGCTAATCTGCAAGGCACAGGAGACCTCTCTCTAGTCCACTGCTCCCCTCAGTAGTATACTTCAGTACATCTGCTTGGTTGCTCCCCACTCTGGTGAATTCTCACCCCCTCCCCAAACCTCTGGCCTACACCCCAGGTTCTTGAATGCATAAATAAGTAAAAGTTAAAAAAAAAAAAAAAAAGACTAGTAAATCCTGTCCCTCCTGAGACATATCAGAATACTTACAAAGTTAACAGAGAGAGTTCCTTTCCGTTGCCTCATTTGCATGTTAAATGCATCTGACCTGTTGGTAACTTTTCGTCTTCGGGAGACCTCATCTTGAAATAAAAACAGTTATATAATAATAGCAAAAACTAATGTTGAGAGCTTACAATGGACCAAATACTACTTAAAATTATCTACTTAAAAATCTCACAATACTATGAGGTAAATATACCACTATCACCCAATGAAAATCAAGAATATGAAGTATACAGGAGTTAGGAAGCATGCCAAAAATCACACAGGCAATCACTGGCAGATTTGGTATTCTGAGTTCCAGGGAGCTCAACTACTAATTCTATACTGCCTGTAGATAGTACTTAACAGGGGTTAATCAAAGAGTGCTTTTAGAGCTCATGCTAGTCAGTTTAGGAATTGCAAGAATGGAAAAGATAACTGAAGTGCTTAACTCTTAAAACAAAGTAATAACATTACAACGTATTAATAAATCCTTTTACAGTGACTGAGTGATGGAGCACTCTATATACGGATCCTCTAGAATTCGGTTCACAATCTGACTTATATAACTTAATTACTCCTATCACAAAATACATGACTCCCAACTATAGCACTTTGTTAAATTCTCAACAGTATAAACTTATCCAACACAATTTTTGTTCAACTCAGTTTTAAAACTGACAAGTACATAGCATAGTGAGAAATGATCTTTGCATATGCAATTTTATTCACAAAGTTTCAAACATTTTCCTTAAACACTTAAATATAAGTATCATACCAAGCAATTCTAGAAAAATATCAAAATTATAATTTAAGTGACAAGAGCTTCCCAGTATATTCTGATACTAAAGGTCAGATAATCCTCTATTTGTCTTTGAACTTAAAAAGTTCTAAGCTTTGGCCCTCCCTGGTGGCGCAGCGGGTTAAAGCACAGCACTAAGAAGCTAAAGCCACTTCCGCATGAGTTCGATTCCCGCCTGCCCCGGAGGCTACCACATGGCGTGGCAGACCTCTCCTGACCCGCCCGCTGCTCCCCTCAGCAGTGTACTTCGTCGATCTGCCTGTTCTGCTCCCCGCTCTGTCTCTGGTGAATTCTCTCACCCTCCGCATCTCTGGCCTGTACCCCAGTTCTGTACAAATAAATAAATAAATCTTTAAAAAAAAAAAAAAAGTTCTAAGCTTTTGATCACCAGATAAAAACCACTAACTTTATCATTCTCTTTTAAATTAGCCTTTAGGAACTGCGATAAACTTCTCTCAAGAATTAAGACATGGAGGAGGAAAATTTCTCTTCCAAAATATTACAATGTACTATAATATGGTTCCTCACACCTTAAATTTTAAGATTATTTGCTATAAAAAAGGATATTATGTTTAGGAACCATGTTGAAAGTTTCTAATTCTTAGGCAGGCTGCAATTTAAATGTCATTTGAATTTCACAAACCATTATCTCTTTTCATGATCAAGTAACAAATTTTACCTTCTTTATCTTTTGTTCCCATTGTCAGGCCCACAACTTTAGGACCAGCCCCAAAAATACGAAGTTTCTTTAGTTCTGTGTTTCTAGCCATGTCTCCAGATTCCGACTAAAAGATAAAAATATTTACATTACTCTAATTATTTTAATCATACATTTTCTTACCAATAAGTTTTAATATACTCTTCAAAATAAAGGAAAAATTATGATTATTCTCTAAATCCATTCAGTGTCTCATTACAAGAGCTGAACAACAAGCAAAGCAATACACAACACCCAAATTCCTTCCCACAAAGAAAATCTACCTGTCATAAAAGCAGAGCTGTAAATTTGGTTCAGTCCAGAAACAGATGCTACTAGTATAAGCTGTATAGTACTGACAGTTAATTCAACAGAAATCTCAACTTCTAACTTGTTAATAAATACCCATCTATGATTGGATAACAATATGCCTATCTCAGGTGATCAGTAGTGAATGCCCAAAGCCAGTGACACCAATGTCGTTTCTTTTTACTGATAATGACCTACTAGAGGTGGGAATATTATTCTGGTCTAGTCAATGCAATTTAAATGAGTTATACTTGGAACTTCTGAGAACCAGGATTCCTGAGATAAATGGCTGATTCTACGTCTCTCACACAGCAAAACAGTGAGTCTTTTTTGTGCTGCAAAGTAAGCGTTCAAAAACTGGGAGACAAGTCAAACTGATACAAGATTTTTTCCATCTTCTAATAAAAAGTAAAGTTTCACAAAGAGTAAGTCCTTTGTCCTAACTTCCTTCCCTACTGCTAGGCAACTGAGTCTGGTGAAAGCATAATGCTGGACTCTCAATAGTCACACTGCAAAGAATGGAGGAGGAGATATATCACACACTCTGAAGAAAGCAAGGCACAAAGATGAAAAAAGTCTGGGCTCTAATAACAATATAAAATTGGATACCAACCCGAGAGCTACCTAAGTGAAAAAACTGTGTATTCCTGTAAAAACTGTGTTGTTAATGTTTAAAGCTACTGTCCTCTGGCAATCTGTAACTTGAAGATCAGAGCATCCTGACATACAACAGTGTTATATCCTGTATTTAGATGGATCATATTCTCAAGCTACAGATTAAATAACCAAATTTTTTAAAAGTATACTTTATCAGGCCCTCCCTGGGGGCACAATGGGTTAAAGCACAGCATTATGAAAACTCTCCACAGTCACTGCAGCACGAGTTCAATCCCCAATCACGGAGGTGACCCCATGGGGTGGCAGACCTCTCCTGACCAGCTCCCTGCTCCCATGAGCATTATATTTCAGTTTATCTGCCTGTTCTGCTCCCTACTCTATCTCTGTTGAAACCTCTTACCCTGCCCCCACACCTTTGGACTATACCCTAGCTCTTAAAAAATAATAAATCTTTTATTCTTTAATTACAATATAAACCAATAGAACTTTATGATATTGGATTAGAACCAGAATTTCAGTATGATGAGCTGAAAATTTTAAAACCATAATTAAAAAAAATTTTCTTCCTCCTAGTCCTGACTACTAAAAAGGCTTAGAAGCAATGGTGTCCTAGTATGAATGAGCACACCTTGCACTCAGATCTTAGCTTCTAAGTACATTTTCCCACTAAAGAGAGCAAGGGTTCCTGGGAGAAATGGCTGATTACACACTTATGGCAGGACAAGAAAGCAATGAGCCTTTTGTGCTAGAAAATGAATATTCCAAAATTTATGACAACAAATAACACAAATGAGATTTAAACAGCTCACATTAGCCAAACTTGGAAAAATTTATCAAAAAGGAATAAGAAGTGGTAACAGATTATAAGACATATCAAAAAATCATTATCTGTATATACTGACACCAAAAAAGGGGTCAGTCATGGTTCTGCAGGTTTCTATAGCATCAAAATTCATACAACCATACACTCAAGATAAACATATTCTATTGTATGAAAAAAAGTATCAAGTAAAAGTGTGGGACAAACTGAGTTCCTTCTTAGAGAAAATACTAATAAGTGCAAAAGAAAAGAATTAAAAAATCCCCTAGTTGGCTACCACTAACAGCTAATTCAGGCAAGGATTACCTATGGAGTTTAAAACCACTGGGCAAAATATAACTGGAAAACAAGTTATTTATACCACCTCCTGGTTTATGCTGTTTAATTTTATCACAGAATTTTAAAAAATTATTGGACAGGCCCTCCCTGGTGGCGCAGTGGGTTAAAGCACAGCACTAAGAAGCTAAAGCCACTTCCGCATCAGTTCGAACTCTGCCTGCCCCGGAAGTGACCACATGGCGTGGCAGACCTCTCTTGACCCACCCGCTGCTCCCCTGTGTACTTTGTCGATCTGCCTGTTCTGCTCTCCACTCTGTCTCTGGTGAAGCTTCTCGCCTGTACCCCAGTTCTGTATGCACAAATAAATCTTTAAAAAAAAATTATTGGAGAAAAAGAAAACTACTATATTAAAAAAAACCTGTAGAACTCTTTTTGTCACTGTCACCAAGTTATCAATAGTGAATATTAAAAGTGGCCTCTCCAGTGGGTCAGGGGTTAAAGTCTTAGTGCTATAAAAATATGGCCAGCCACTGCCACATGAGTTTGACCCCAGCCAGGGAGCTGACCTACATGGCACAGCAGACCTCTCCTATCTCAGCGACTGCTCCCCTCAGCAGTCTATTTCAGTAGATCCATCTGCTTCCCTCTCTGTCTCTGGTGAGTCCTCTCACACACACCCCAACCCCCATTGCTGGCTCACACTCCGGTTCTTCTGTGTATACATAAAATCTTAAAAAAATATCAAAGGAAAAACAGACTTAGAAAAGATGATGACAATGTTTGAGAGATACTGATTTTAGCATACTTTGTTGTGGTCACCAAAGAATACACATATATAGGCAAACATACATCCTCTAATGTACAAAAAGAAACCTGGATGAATGTAAAGATATCTTTTAATAGTTCTGAGTACTCAGAGAAAGAAGAAAGAAAATCAAGAGTAACAGAAACCGAAGAAAAACCAAGCTACTCATATTTCAAGAAGACTTAACAGATCATTTAAATATACACACGACCAGAGACGAAAAGGTATATGAAATGAAAAGGGGCCTTTTCATTTGCATTAGCATTTGAGAATTACTCAGTGGTAACAGACAGGGTAGTTACAATCTAAGAGTTAGCTCTTAGATTACAGAATATGAAATTGAACAGACACTGAAGAACTGACACAATAAAGGCTTTTTCAAGAAAACCTCTTGGTGAAAAAAGGTATAGAGCAAGACAATGTCTTAGAAAAAGGCTAGCATTTTAAAATGATAAGAATTAAATAAGTTTATGTGGGGGTATGGGGGTTACAGTAGAGAGGAGGTAAGAGATAAAGATTTCACAATTAATTTAGCCAGAAAGAATGGAAGCAGAAGGATTATACTTGAGGAGAAAGGTACATTTTCCCACAATCATAGCAGAGATTAAGAATAAATACCAACAGTTTTATATATGGACAAGAAGCTGAAGTTCTATCAGAAAGCCTCTGCATTCTGCAATAGAAGACTGAGAATCAGACAAGGGGGAAAAGTAATTAAAGATATACTGTGAGTTGAAAAAATTTTTAATCACAAAGTCTGAAATGGTTCTAGTTTTTAACTGATATTAACCAATCTAACTACAGTCACAATTATTACAATGGGTAGAAGTATACATGAGGCCCTCCCTGGTGGCGCAGCAGGTTAAAGCACTGCACTGAGAAGCTAAAGCCACTTCCACAAGAGTTCGATTCCCGTCTGCCCCGGAGGAGACCACATGGCGTGGCAGACCTCTCCTGACCCGCCTGCTGCTCCCCTCAGCAGTGTACTTCGTCGATCTGCCTGTGCTGCTCCCCACTCTGTCTCTGGTGAATCCTCTCACCCTCCGCATCTCTGGCCTGTACCCCAGTTCTGTATGAAAAAATAAATAAATCTTTAAAAAAAAAAAAAAAAAAAGGTATACATGATGTGGCCCCTAACTTTATATGAAGAAGTAAATGCACTTAGAAAAAGGCAGGAGGTTTTTCATGGTTTCAAAAAGAACATTAGGCCCTCCTTGGCAGCGCAACAGGTGAAAGCACAGCACTTATGAAGCCATCGCAGCCACTGCAGCACGAGTTCAATCCCTGGCCAGGGAGATGACCCACATGGCACAGCAGACATCTCCTGACCTACCCACTGCTCCCCTTAGCAGTGTATGTCATTAATCTGTCTGTTCTGTTATGCTCCCCACTTTGCCTCTGGTAAATCCTTTCACCCCCCGCACCTCTAACATGTACCCCAGTTCTGTATGCATAAATATATAAAATCTTTTTTTAAAAGAACATTAAAAGGGATTTTATTACAAACTAGTAATTGTTTAGATGGGCAGTCACTTGGGGCAACTTTTTTAAAACCAATTTATCAAGCATCTAAGGTCTTGAAATAGAATAAGCACTATATACCCAAAGATGATCAGAACTTCTGAAATCAAACACTATTACAAATTGCATAATTACTAGAGTGCATTAATTTATAGTAAGGCTGTAACTTTCCAATGAATTTCCATTAAATTTAAATTCCATCCAAAACACTTTCTTTTCTGGTATCAAATACCTAACCAGGTATTAATCAGGAGGTTTTTCAGTCAGCATAAACTAAGAACAAGGAAAACAGACAAGGCATAAAAAGAGATATCCTTGAGTTCTAGAAAAGCAAGCCTAAGTATCACTAGCCTGCCTCTCTGATGACAGAACTTCTCAACCCAGATCCACTGTCTCTTGTTAATGGAGGACTATCTTCCATCTCCAACTACTACTTTCAATGTGAATTTTTTTCCCATTCTGATAATATACAGCTTCATTAGATATGTTAAATGATTAGGATCCAATTAAGACATTATTCCAGTTCACCGTTATATTAAGTGGACTTTTTCTCAGATTTCTAAGGATACCTCACTGTCTCTACTAAAAGCCTTACAAACACAACTTTAAGAACCACAAAGAATTAGGACTAGTATTTAAAAAAGGGGGGAGGTAAAAAAGAAATTAAGGCTTTTGTCTTTTGATGCATTCATTAGACTAAAATTATTTTACGCTACAACACTACAGAAGTTATACTGACACTAAGAAACTTATACTGTGGTTTTTAAAGGAATAATAAGTGAAAACTAAAACCACCCTTTCCCATTCCTCTCACTTCTACTAACCTGAAAAATAAAATGTACTCAGACTTTATCAGAATGTCTAGAAAACTGGTTATACAGTATCCAGAGTCACCCTGATTTTTCATCCCTATCAAAAATAGCTCGCCATTGATGGAGTTTTCAAAATCAAAACATAATGAATTTCTCAATTCCCAATTTATCTCAAAAATAAATGAAAACTCTCTCTTCAAGTTTTAAAAAACAGTAAGTGAAAGGTCATAACCAGGTAACTTCTGCACCATGAATACTCTTAAAACTCCTGTTAAAAATGGCCCTTGGATAGTGATACCTGAGACTTGACACGTCTTGTTCTCTTCGGCAGAATGTTCATTCTTGTACCCGGCTCTGGGGAAGTTTGGACATCAGTGCCAAGAACCTCAGGCTCCACTTTTTCCTTAAGATCTAAATTAGGCATTTGTACACCCTAAGAATCAGAGCACAGAAGAGAGCAGATTCACTGATAACCAGATTTGAGAATTAGTTGGGGAAAAAAAAGAAATTTCCAATAATCTCTAAAACTACATGAAACCAGACAACAATTTTCCCACTGCAATCCCTATCAAAACTCTAGTAACTTCTGTTCTAGAAATGGAGAAATTGATTCTCACAGTCTGTAGAAATACAAACTGGAAATTTTGAAAAGGGAAAGAAAAAAAAAAAAAACACAAAGCTGGAGGATTCCTATGACTAGATATCAAAACTTACTATAAAGGTACAGTATTCAACACAGTATAGTACTGGCATAAGGACATATATAAATGCCAAAGAACAAAACAGAAGCCAGAAATAAACTCCATATTTACAGTCAACTGATTTTCAACAAGGGTGAATGGAGGTTAAAGGGTGTTGTTTTAAACAAATGATGATGATACCACTGGATATTCATATACCACTTCTTGCTCCCAAAATATACGTATGCCTTTACCTCATATTACACACAAAATAATATGAGCTGATGATCTAAATATCAAAGCTAAAACAAAGATGAAAATCTTTGTGACTTCAGAGTAGTAAAAGATTTCTTAGATATGACACCAGAATACAATCCACCAGGAGAGGGGAGACTGATACATTGTACTTCCAATAGACAACATTATAAAAATGAACAGATAAAACAGAGTAGAAGAAAATATTTGCAAAATCACAGAGCTGTCAAAGGACTTGTAGTATCAAGAATACAGAGAAAACTTTTAAAACGAGTATAAGATGACACAACCCAATAAAAAACTTGAAGAGGCATATCAAGAAGATATATAAATGACTAGTATGGTACATGAGAAGATGTGATTAAAATCACAATGAGGTATCAGTAAACACCCACTAAAATGTCTAGAGGCACAAAAAATTGACAAAGTGCTAACAAAGACGTGGAGAAACTAAAAATCTCTAGATTACTGGTGGGTAACGTAAAGTAGTTCACCCATTTTAGAGAACCATTTGGCAATTACTTAAAGAGTTAAATAAAAATTTACCATAACCCCCAGCTAATTCTACTCCTAGCTATCTACTCAAGAGAAATGAAAACATTATGTCCACACACAGACTTATACATGACTACTCATTATTGAATAATATTCTAATAGACAAACTGGGAACAATCCAACTTTCCATCAACTGTTAAATGGATAAACAAACATGGTAGATCACTACAAAGGAACAGCATTCAGCCATTAAAAGGAATGAAGGAATGCTAAAACATGAGTAAACCTTGAAAGCACTAGGCTAAGTGAAAGAAGCCATATGCAAAAGCATTTTCATCTATGTGAAAATTTCTTGAAAAGGCAAAACTATACCATCAGAGTAGATCAGGAGTTGTGTGAGTCTGGGAATAGAAGAAGGAACTGACCTCAAACACAAAGAAATGTTTGGGGGCTGATGGAGTGTTCTAAAACTGGTTTGTGGTGGCTGTTTTATAAATATATAATTAAAGCTTATTGACTGTGTACCCACAATGTATGACTGGATGGTACTTAATTATACCTCAATAAAGCTATTAAAAAATACATAAACCCAAGAGAAGGAATTTTTCACAAACCTAAGTTATGAGGATTTATTTTTAAATATTTTTACATTAGCCTCTATTTTGTAAATCACTAAAAATAGCTGATTTTTAAACTATAACTTGCTCCCACAAATTTCTACAAAAACTGTTATGGAGAGCCAATTTCTAACTTGTAAAGGTGAATACAGTCTAAAACTTGTAAGTTCAGAGATAAGATTTATCCACTTCCGGGCCCTCCCTGGTGGTGCAGTGGGTTAAAGAGCAGTACTGCAAGCGAGCTGCACCCACTTCAGCGCAAGTTCAATCCCCATCCCAGAGGTGATCCACTTGGTACGGCAGACCTCTCCTGCCTCGCCTGTTACTCCCCTCAGCAATGTACCTCATCAATCTGCCTGTTCAGCTCCTCACTCTGTCTCTGGTGAATCCTCTCACTGCCCCTGCACCTCTAGCCTGTATCCCAGTTCTGTATGAATAAATAAACAAATCTTTAAAAAAAAAAAAAAAGTTTATTATTTATCCACTTCTAAGAAAAATGATATATCTCACCATAAGACTGACACCAGATTGAAAAAGTTCATATGGGTAGAGAATTCTTTCATAGTGTGACTTCAAAAGAGATCCAGTTCCTTTTCCTGGCAGATATCCCAAACGGCTACCCACTTTAGACCATTTCTTCTCTTTGGTGACCATTTCAAAACCACCTTTGCTGGCAACAATCTGAAAAGAAAGTAAAAACTATTTAGGAAAAGAAGGTATACTCATGTAATTCAACATTATATCTCATCCAGTAAATACAAAAAATTATTGTGGGTCTCGATGTCATAAAGCATAACACTATGAAACTATTGGCAGCCACTGTACCACAAGTTCAATCCCCAGTCAAGGAGGTAACCCACATGCAGTAACAGACCTCGCCTGTCCTGAGTGCTGCTCTACTCAGCAGTGTATTTCAATAGATCTGCCTGTTCTGCTCCCCATTCTGTCTCTGGTAAATTCTCTCACCCCCCAGCACTGTACTGTACTCCAGTTCTTGTATGCATAAACAGATCCTTTAAAAAAAAAAAAAAAAAGCTAAGGGAGCATGAACTTTAGAGAAGATTATCAGAGCTCAAAGTAGTTCTGCTACTTAATGTATGATCTGGGATATGTTATATAACTGGTATCTCGGATTCCATCACTATTGATAAAACATTAATAGTAACAGTAGCTAACACCTCATTATGAAGCGGTTGTGAAGATAAATAAGAGAGACATGAAAAGCACCAGAATAAGTCCTGTATCAATGTCAGCTATATAACAAATATCTTTATAAGCAGTCAAGCGGGAGGTATACATGCTAGAATGTGTTAAACTCTTACACTCTAGAATAATATTATAAATAATGATGAACCTATAGCCAAAGCAAAACTTCCCTTTAGTGGATTATCTGAAAGCTTGATATAAACACGTTTATGTGCACAAGAACTAAGCATACCTCTAATTCTTTAGCTTCTCTTATCATATCCTCAAAGAAGATCCCCATCTACTAAGAGTTAACCAGAAGAAATTGATAAAAGAAAAAAAGTATTTCAGACTTTGTAGTACAGAGGAAGACAAAAGAGGGGTTTAGATTGAAGGCTCTTTGGAAGCAAATGAACAAGAGCATTTTCATTCATATCTTTCCAGTAACTGCCAGTACTGTTTTAGGCATCTGAGTTACAGCTAGAGAATACAACAAGACCTGTGCCCACAGGAGTTTGCATTATTGGGAAAAGACAGACAATAAACGTGTACTTTTTGAAGTCATCCAGTGAAGAAATACAAAAGAGAGGTTAAAAGGCTTCAAAAATACCAGAACAAAGATTAACAGTCACAAAAAGCCTCATTAGAAAGGTGAAGTTTGAGCGAAGACTTGCAGGTAGTGAAATCATCCAAGCATATATCTTCAGGGAACCAACAATTAGAATCCCAATTAGAAGTATGTCTACAGTTTTTGTGGAACAGTGAGGAAGCCAATGTGGCTGAAGCAAGTGGGAAGGGGTAGTAAAAGAAGCTAATGAGAAAAGTAGAAGCCCTCTCCTCTGAACTACCTAATAGTTATCATGATTACATAATAATCTGCTTTGCAGTTAAAGCACTTCAAACTAAATTTCCATTGGTAATGACATATCTGCATGGATTCAGTCATGCTTTCCCACCCAGTTCTGATGATTATGAGCAAGTAGCTGCTTGCATATGTCCTCCCTGGTGGCACAAGGGGTTAAAACTCAGCACCACTATTGGCAGTCACTGTAGCACAAGTGTGATCCCCAGACAGGGAGGTGACCTATATGGCACAGCAGACCTCTTCAGTCTCACCCACTGCTCCCCTCAGCAGAGTACTCCACCAATGTGCTTGTTCTACTTCCCACTCTTGTCTCTGGTGAATACTCTCACCCCTCCACATCTCTGGCCTGTATTTCAGACTTGTATTCATAAATAAATCTTAAAAAAAAAAAAAAAACACTGAAAGTAAATACCAATGCCTATCACTCAAGGCACTGGGAATGAAAATTAGTTTGTCTTCAAGTAAAGAAAATCACAAAGGTTAAAGATTACAGAATTATCCTTCTTAACACTAGAAGCCAGCAACACTAGGAGCCAGAAAATTATTCTATAAAGCTTTCAAAATACAAAAGCAAAATAATTTACTGTTTAGACTTCTAAGTCCCACCAAACTACCAAGAAAGTGTGAGAACATTTTCAGAGAAGCAAGGTCCTAAAAAAATTACAACCCGGCCCTCCCTGGTGGCGCAGCGGGTTAAAGCACAGCACTGAGAATCTAAAGCCGCTTCCGTATGAGTTCGATTCCCGCCTGCCC